GCGCCATCCCAGACCCCAACGCAGGCATTCTCATGTTTTGTATTACTGTGTCATTTTCTGGTTGGGCTAACCGCCATTGTATACACATAATCCAGGCTGATGTTGCGGCGCTGTAACGGTGGTGGACTCATCAGAAGCAGGAGGGGCCCCGAGCTGACCAATCAGAGCCACAGTGGGCCCATCCAGGGAGGGGGTTGCAGGAGCTGCAACCAAAGCCGTTAGTAGCAGAGAGTGACGATACACATATATACAGTAAGGAGATTTTAAAGATTCACCGATTCGCATCGGTGCAGGCCGGCATCAACGTTCAAAGATGCGAGTGCAGCGGTTGAAAGAGTGCACAGTCGGCGGCTACAGTTTGGTTGAACCGGGTTGAAGCTCCGGCGATGCATCGATTGCGTAGCGTCCTTTGCATCCGGTAAAAAACCGATTCATTCATATAAAGATCGCCCTCATCTTGTCAACGCCTCCAGGCAAGAGACGATCTTTGATATTGTTCGCCCACTACGGAGAACGAGAGTCTCAGTTACCACAACACACGGAAGTTGAGGAGAAAGAGAAACAGCAGCGCACCCGAAAAATACCTACAAATCAAAGCGTTTTGGCAAACTTCGGATTGTTCAAGAAAATACGGTGTAATATACGTTACGCAGGTCATGGAGAGTAATGAAGGTATCCGTAGACCTTTGCATGAGGTATCTTTATTACTTAACCAGGTCTAAGCGCAGCCATAGACTCCGTCCCTAGGATGCGGAAATGCATACACACAGTATCACTCCGGCAGCCGCCACCCCATCAGTAACGTCCTGATGGTATAATTGGTCGGCGGGCACTCATACTACAGAAGCCGGTCAACTGAAAAAATCGCTCGCAAATTTCGATCGATCCGGCTTTAAAGTACAAGCAAGTAGTGTCGAGGAACATTAGCGACCGCACATAAAGAGGGCGACTGGGGGGTCGCGCTGAAAAGAGAAACGCTGAAAAGTGACGACAACTGAAGTTAATTCACTCAGTGAGGTGTTCTGCCAGAGAAGGTGTTATAGCTTACAGCAGGCCTGTGACGGCATACATGAATTTAAATGTCTTCCTACTGAAGACAGTTATGAAATACCTGTTTGTGAAAGATTATTTGTATTATTTATTGAATTTCATCATAGAACCACTGCTGTTCTGCTCACTTGGGAGTTATAAACCTATGAATGAGTGTTAAGCACATCAGCGCTGGCAGCTGTATGCGGCATTGCACTAAGGTAGCTGTATTGCACAGTTGTTCAATCATGAGGCAATGCATTCCTTACATTGTTTAAGCTGGTGAGGTGCTTATGACAATTGTACTCTGGAGAGGCTTTTAAAGGTAAAAAAATGAAAGCGGCATGATGGGAAACTGGTGCAGTACGCAAATATGAAAGGGCAGCTTTTGTTAATGTATGCATTTTTTTGCTGGCATATAAGGAATAAAACAAAAATCGCTCTGTCGTACCATATTGAAGTATGCATGTATTTTGCATCGTATTGAATCGCATCGCCCGCGAACGCATAATGTTGAATCAAGATCGTATCGACTGTATCGGCAACAGGGTGAAATCGTATCGTATCGGGCATCGCCTGGTGTTTCAAATGTATCGTTAATGTATCGTTCGTGGCATCAGTAATCCAGTATGAATGCGCATCGGCATCGGGCCTCAGTGATGGACGAATGCAGCATGCCCCTAATATACAGAGAATGCTGTAGGAGAAACCAATGTGAGTTTGGAACATTGAACAATGTAAATCTGTTCTAGTGATGATCAGTAGAAATGGCCATGACATGGGACTTTTAAGTCAATTCATTCTGAGAATAAAGGATTGCTTACAGTTTGACTAACAAAGTTTTGGGTAGCATTTCAATCAGAAGACATGAGCTGAAGATTCAGGGATGACTTATTAAGCAAATGTAATGAAGGTGGAGAGAACGTTATACAATTACGAAGAGCTGCAAGGCAAACAGACTAACAAGGCAACTTTGCACACTGACTGGTATGAGAAAATATGATTCAATATGGTGTAAAAATGTCAGAGCCTTTTTCCATCTGCTTTATGTCAGACATGGGGATACACACAGGTGGCGCCACGGATAAACATTGAATTCATTAAGAGCTTATTGCTGCCACCTGTGTGTCTGGGTTTGAAGTTTTAGCATCCAGCTACTCAACTAGAAGCTGGAAACTATAGCAACAATCCAAAAGAGCATGTAACAATTTAAGGACATGTAGGGCTTTTTAATTTAAAAAAGTAACAATAAGAATAGAAAAATACTCTTTATTGATAATGAAATAATGTAATCAGTTGAATCTGAAGTGCTTACCTCTGTTTTAAATATAGTAGCATGTTCTTTACATCCTGGTAAACCTTTGACAAATGTGGCGACCTGATGAAAAAAGGAAATAACTTTCAGCAAAGTGCTCCAGAAATGCTGTCAAACACAAACCATTTTTAAATCTTAACCTAGAAATTTAGCAAATACATTTTTTTATTGATTTATTTCATAACATTCAAAGCCTTTGTTCATGGGTTCGAACGAAGCTGAGAATGTCTTTCGTCATATTTTATGAAAATACAGATTATTATTGTGTTGTATTGTAAGTGTAAATGTATTTTGTATCCTTGTTCAGACAGGTAGGTAGGTAGGGGCTTTTTTTGGGGGCAAGCAGGTCAGCAAACTGTTTTCTTTTTCTTGCGGTGAGTTATTTAATGGAAATGTTTGTATCACATGAGTCCGAAACAATCCTACGCACCATGAGCTGGAATTTAATCCTACAAACATTATATTACAAATAATTGTGTCATTTTGTGTGTCTTTTTAATCTGCAACTGTGCAGAGATACTGGCTCTGAATGTCAGAACACAATGAATAGACATGCACAAAATAAAAATGAATTCAGCTTCCAAGCTTCAAACTACTGGGAGATCAAATCAGAGAAGCTTGTATGCCTTTATGGAACCGACAGGTGGAAAGCGAGCACCATCTCGGAGTCAGAAAGGCTCTGTTTGAATATTCATGCACAGCTTCTCTGAACAACTAGCTGCCTTCATGTAGGGGAGTGAATGAGGAGCATGTCTGCTTCTCATGTGTTGGCGCAGTGCGAGTGTGTAAGCATGTCCGACCTCCTCAGCGCTCCAAGTGGCAACTCGCTTGGCAGTCAGCCCGAGGACCTCAGGCAGCAGCTGGCAGTGTTTGTCCCAGCAGAGAGCCACCCGGTGAGGGGGGGAGGAGGAGAGGCCGGGGGAGAAAACTGACTCGTGGAGGGCCTGCTGGAGAGAGATGGCATCTGGAGAGGCTGCGGAGAGAGAGAGGGGGGGGAGGGGAGGGAGGAAGGGCAGCAGTCAGTGGGAGTGAGGTGCTGATTTACATGATTTATCACGTCTCCTTTTCGCATTCACACGCACCTTTGCCGTGGCCGATCTCCTCTTTAACGTAGTGCATTTTCAAGTATTTGGGAACGGGAGCAGTTCTGAAAAGACATCAAAACTGTCACTCTCTGACACAGGAGAACCTCTTTGACATTACACTACAGCAGTAGAGCTGGATGTGAGGGTACCGTTTGGGCCTGGTTCCATTGTGGCTCGGCTCGCTGGCGCCACCTGCTGGCTCCGGCTGAGCAGTGCGTCCCAAGCGCTCAGCTTCCACTGTCACCGGTTTCCTAGCAACACAGATAACCAGATGTCAGATACAGACCACAGGATAGAGTTGCATTTGAAACACTAAAAGAAGTTATCTTGGGAGTGTTTTTGAAAAAAGGAACAGTTTATCCAAAAATCTAAAAAACATTTATGCTCCTCCCTGGAGTGCTATTTATCAGTCCTGGTCATTTGTTTTTAAAAGTAGAGATGCCTGACTTAATCAAATAAACAGAGCTAGATGGCACTCGGCTTGTGGTGCTCAAAGCAGCAAATAAAATATATTTTAAAAACGTCTCTTTACAGATAACATGACCTGCCAACTCTATGATCCATAATCTCCATCCGTTTTTGTGAGCAGTTTAATCTAGGAACTATTTTCTTTTTTCTTTGGGGGTTATCGGTCCCTTTTATGTACATGCTGTGTTTTTAGAGTGACAGGCGCTAACCTGTTCTGGGGGTCTTCAGCTCCCTCGGGCTGTTCTGACGTTGTGGAGCTCTGCGTCGTAGTGTTTGTGGGAAAGTCCGGACGTCGCCCACGTGGGTGAGGTCCACTGAGGGCGACGGGTCGTTCTCCGCTGAGGCGATCTGGCAGCAGGCCCTCTTTGTTCAGATTAACATCCGAGTAGGGACAGCTCACCTCACTGCACACACAAGAGACACACAAACTATAACCAGGTCCAAAACAACCCCCACCCTTTCCTGGCTCTGCAATTAAACTGTTAGCCTCAGATAGGTTGAAAAAATATATATATCGATATCACTTTAAAGACTCAAAACTCCCACACGCACACAAACAAGCAACACATTTAAACTAAAGGCAGCCCACACAAGTATACATTATATCTGAAATATGACATACACAGTCTCCTTACATTGATAACAACTAATCGTAAGTATTAATGTGCTGTTTGAGCAACAGTGATTATAATAATAACATAAATACATTGTAAATTAAAAAATAGCTCTTTGCAAAGCATATATAAAAGGTAGGATAAAAGGACATTACAACAAAGGGTAGGTGCAAATAAACTGAAAGGGATAAAGAAGAATATAATAAAGTGATCTGATATGACATGAAGATTGAAAACAATGAGAAACAAAGCAACTAAATAAAATAAATCACAATACAGAGTATGTGCTACTAACGTGTAGTGTGTCCCATAGCGAGGTCCTCTAATGTGGCCAACCCCGTTGCATCCTGGGGTAGGACATCCTTGTCCCGGGGCGGTCACTAACTCAGTGGAGCCTGAAATATATACACAGACACGGGGGATGTTCATAAATCTATGCAAAGAACTGAAGGAAGACCATTTTCCTTAAAGACTTCATGCAGATATTAAATGAAGGCAGAGGAAAACTGTGAGTGAGTGAGCGAGCGAGCGAGCGTGAGTAAGGGAGGGAGTCTCACCATTCGGGTATTGCAGTGGGTGTCCTGTTTTCTGGCACCATCCTAAAGGGTGCAGATCAGGGCAGTCGGTCTCCACCCAATAGTCATACTCTGAACTCCAGCCATCAAAATGAATCTAGAGGAGAGGACAGTGCATTAAACAAAATTACACAGAAGTTGAAACACATCCTTAATAAGTTATAGATGTTTTTTTTTTTTTATTACTTTTTATTTATTTATTTTACTTAACTCAAACACTTTTTGACTACCATTTAAAAACCTATCAATGGCTTTTCATCTAAATTCCTGTTGGACCTTGGTCCTGGGCTAAATAGATAAATGGCATTTGATCTACGGCAATATTTAATTCCTGTTCTTGTTACTTAAAGTGGACCTATCATGCTATATTTGAAAAATATATTGTAGGGCCATACCTATATATAAAACACGTGAATACCAAACAGTTCACCCATTGTAGCCATCCCTCATACTGCTCAAACCCCTCTTTTGCAGCCCTGTTAGAGAAACGCGGATCTTGGGTCCTTAGCTTGAAAAAAAAAAGAGGAGGAGCGGAGCTAATGCCTGATGCCTGATCAGAATTCTACCGGAGATAAAGTTACATTCGGTTGTGATAAAACGCCATCCTGTTTAGTATGGAACTCAAATGCTTTTTCTCTTGCAGGTTTATCACAAGGTGAGTTCTTTTTTTATTTCCTGCTTTTTAAACACATGTGCTCTACAGTACAGGTTAGCTCTGAGTGTTAGCGAGGCTTGCTAATGTAAACAAAGACGAGATTACGTCCAAAACACGTCAGGCATTGTTTCTGATAGCAACTTTCTGTGGGTCCGCTGACGTCACAGCCGATGGACACATCACAGCCGATGGACACGTCACAGCCGATGGAAATCTGTATCCGCTCGTTGTACACCCATTTTTAAAAGATTTGGGTATGGAGGAAAAGAGAGGGTTTTATTTTCTGACGCTGCGTGAGTTCCCCGACGCACCGGGGACACATATTTTAGGGATGCCCCGAATATTCGGCCGCCGAAAATTATCGGCCGAAAATGGTTAAAAAGGCTCTTTCGGCTTTCGGCCGAAAGGGTTCTAGCACCGAAAAAATATCACCGAATGTCAGAGAACAGGGTTACGTTGGTAAGCTAACGTGTTGTTGTGATGACGTAATCAAAACGCGACCATGCTCGCGGCTGGCTCACAGCCAACATGTCTGCCGCTTGGAGATATTTAAAAATATCAGAGAAAGAGGCGCGGATTGCGATTTGTAAAACGTGTTCAGCTGACATTTCTCGAGGGGGTGTAACTGCAAAGACTTTCACCACTTCGGGATTACTCCACCACTTGAAATCAAAACACCCGGACAAGATATGGCGGAGTAAGATCCAATCAACAAGCACTGACAGCGGAGAGACTGTTCAGCGCGTGCCTCTCATGTGCTTGACTGAGGAGAGGGAACAGACTTAATGGTCTGATAAGCAGAGAAGCTAATGTTATTGTAAAAAGAACCTCCCACTCTTTCCTTAATAAGTAGACAAGGCTGGCTTATCTAAGCCTTATCTAGTTCTACATGGTCTACTCTATACCACTTTCCTGAACAATTTTCTTGTGAGTTATAATTCACCATCTCAGGTTACTCATTAGGGGAAATGGCAGCAGCACAGTGGTTCCAATATATTGTATTTCGGTATCTAAATGATACAATGTTGTTTACATTGTTCATGAGGAAGATCCTTATTGCAGATTCTTTGGAAATTGTAATTTAATTTGTATTGATTGTGGATTTTGTATCCAGTTTTTCACTTTATGGTATCTTTGTATAGACAATGTTTACTACTTTGCTTATGATGGGACAGACAGCCGTTATTTACAGTTCTGAAATTCAATTGTAATTTAATTTGAAATAGTCTACATTCATGTGGATTTAATCCAGTTTGCACATTTGTATGCATGCACTTATACTGTAGGTGCCATTGTTGCTTGTTGAAGGCCTGGCTGCTTACAGTCTTTATTTACACTATTTTTGTTGTAGGCCTACGTGGCCTAGATTATGTAGTTTTAAAGCACCTTGGCTTTGTTCTGAATGCACTTTGTTGTAGTGATCCTACAGAGGAATAAAATGCACTGGTGCTTGGACATTAATTACTGTCATGCATTCAAGAATTGCTGAATAACAGTTTTATGGACCCATAATAGTGGATGTATGGTATTCTAAGTTAAGTTTTGCCATATCCTTTATTTTTCCATAATCACGGTAGCTGACACACGCATTGGTAAACAAATGTCATTACATATATACAGGACTGTCTCAGCAAGATTAGAACTATTGTGATAAAGTTGACTTTATTTTTTGTAATGCTAATGTTAAACAAAACAAAAATGTCATACATCTTGGATTCATTAAAATCAACTGAAATATTTGCAAGCCTTTTATTATTTTATATTATTTGCTGAGTTATGCCGTACAGCTTAAGAAAACTCAAAGTATCTGATCTCTAAATCATTAGATATCATGAAAAAGTATACTAGTAGGGTGTTCAAGAATCACTTTGAATCGTCTTAATTAACTCGAACACCTGCAAGGGGTTTCCTGAGCCTTGAAAACACTCAGGCTTGGTTCAGTAAACTAAATCACAAGTTATGGGGAAGACTGCTGATCTGACTGCTGTCCAGAGCCGTCATTGACACCTCCATCAGGAGGGTAAGACACAAAAAGAAATTTCTCAGAAGGAGCAAGCTGTTCACAGAGTGCGTTTCAAAGCATCACAAAAAGTCTGTTGGAAGGGGGAAATGTGGCAGGAAACGACTGCCACAACCAAGAGAGATGACCGCAGCCCTTAACAGCATTGTGAAAGAAGAGTCGCTTTCAAGGAATCTTGGGGGAGCTTCAAAGACAGTGGACTGAAGCTGGAGTCGGCAGGTATCAAAAGTCCACTGTTCACCAGGACGTGTCCGGGAAATGGGCTACAATAGCCGTATTCCCATCAGGTCAAGCCACTTTCTGAACTCAGACAACGGAAGGGCGTCTGACTTGGGCTAAGGAAAGACACTGGAACAGTTGCACAGTGTTCCAAAGTCCTCTTTAGACGAAAGCAAGTTTTTGTATTTCATTTGGAAGTAAGGCGCCAGAGTCTGGAGAACAAGGCTGGAGAGGAGCAAGAATCCAATGCTTGAAATCCGCAGTGTGAAGTGTGCCCACAGTCAGCGACTGGTTGGGGTGAGCCATGTCAGGTCTGCTGGTGTTGGTCCACTGTGTTTGCATCAAGCCAGAGTAAATGCAGCGTTGTACCAGAAGAGATTTTAGGAGCCACTACAATGCTTCCGGTCTGCTGAAAAGCTCTATGGAAGAATGAGATTTCATTTTCCAGGCATGATCTGGCACCTGCCCACAGTGCCAAAACCACCAGTAACTGGTGTAGCTGACCATGGCATTACTTGTCCTCGGATTGGCCTGCAAATTCCCTGACCTTGAACCCCATAGAGTGAATATGTGAGGGTATTGTGAGAATGAAGCTGAAAGAACCAGACCCAACAATGCTACTGACTAAAGGCCGCTATTGGAAGCATCCTGGGCATCATAACACTCAGCAATGCACAAGGCTGATCTGCCTCCATGCCACGGCCGCATTGATGCGAGTAATCCGTGCAAAGGAGGATTCGCCAACCAAGTACTGGAGGTGGCGAATTAATGGAATTTTTCAAATGTTTGATTGTGTTTTGCTGTTATTAAATCTTTTTTTTACTTGGTCCGTGGAGGGAATACTTCTAATGTTTTTGAGATAGCGATTTTTGGAGTTTTCTTAAGCTGTATGCCATAATCGCAATATTAAAAAAGATTTAATTTATTTGGCTTGCAAATATTCAGTGATTTGTAATGATCCAGAATGTATGACATTTTTGTTTTTTTAACCTGCACTTACGCAGAAAATAAAGGAACTTTATCACCAATATTTAATTTTCTGAGACAGTCCTTATATTATATACTATGGTACATTATATATATATATATTTCTATTAATCATTTTCGGCCTTTCGGCATTCGGTTTTCGGCCAACTGTTTCCTATTTTCGGTATCGGTTTCGGCCAAGAATTTCCCATTCGGTGCACCCCTACATATTTATGTATAAAAGACATCACAAAGTGCATTTTGCATGATAGTTCCCCTTTAAATCCACAATACTAGACTGGGTTTGAAAAACAAAAAGGGATTCATTGTGAAACAACTGTGTCTTTGTGCTATCTCCTGGAATTTCAAGGTCCGTTTTACTTTCTGTGGTTCAATGTCGCAAGAGTTGGCAGACATTTATGCCGTCTTCTTCCTCAAAGTATGATGTTTTATTTACTATAAGTTCAAGACAACATTCTTGACGGATTCATTTTGCTTCTGTTTCATCTTAAAATGATGTCGCTGAGTGGAAAGTTTGTACCTTTAGTCGGTGGTCCTCTGTGTCCACTACGGTAGTAACACGGATGAGCATGGGGTTCCTCCTATCCACAGCTTCCACTTTCATCCCAATCTGGAAGCCATGTGGAGGTCGCTGCAAACACAAGCAGAACCACAATCACATGATCATATTAAGACCACTATCGTCCATATTATGATTATTTGTGTGTATTCTTATATTTGCGTGTGAGAACTGTACCGGTTTGAAAGCCCGAGCAGGAGCGGCCTGTGTGCCCGTCTCTTCCAGGTATTTCTCCCATGAGAAACTTTTAGGTTGCTTATATTCTGTAGTGAGAGTTAAAAGGCATTAGAGTCTGTCTTGTGACCTTTGGATCAAAAACAACAATCTAGACATCCACAGGAACTGACTTAATTGTTATTAGCTTCAATACATTTACATTATTTCTACTTGTTATTTCAAACATTAGCAACAATATTTGACAGGCATTGATTTTACATGCAAACAATAATTTCAGCATAATGTAAAATTGGTATTAGTATTTATTACTGACAGTGTTAGATTCTGCATTCCCTATAGTATATTAAAGGAATTTATACTGACCCACGTGTGTCTTGGTCTGTGTCTTACCAGCTGGGGTAGTCAGAGTTAGCTCAGCCTCTTCACAGTAACCCACAGGATGGATATATGGACTGCTAGCGTCACACCTTCACAAAAAACAACCACTAGGTAACCAGGAACACAGTAAAGGCCCAATGTTAGACTTTTCTAAATGTGTTCTAGCTGTAAAACTTTGTAGATGTTAATGTTTGCACAACTTTCCAGGACCGTTTGTCCAATTTAAACTTGTCAAGACTAATTTCCTATATGTTAACACTTTTCCACACCTTAAAAACCCAGGCACTATGCTCGTACAGACAATAAACTACAGTAGATTTCAATTCAATTGAAATATACAGCAGTCCTGCAAATGGGATACCTCTGGATGAAAGCCATTCCTCCAGTCTTAAACCAGGCTCTTACCAATAATCATATGTGTCGTCCCAGTTATCAAAATGAATGAGCAGTCGGTTGTCCACAACAGCAGCAATGGTTGCTACACAGATCAACGAGGGGTTCTTCCTGTCGATCGCCTCCAGCTTCATCCCTGCTCTGAATCCAGATGGAGTCACAGACTGAAATAAAAAATAAAGCACTCTTATAAAAGCTGATTTTAAGAAACATTTGATGACTTTAGGATTTACAGTGCTTTTAACTCACTGTGTTGAGGCTTTTGAAAAGGTGTTTTGGGGCCAGCTGACCCCTGCAGTTCTTCACATACATGCTCCAATTAAAGTCTCCGTCCTTACAACCTACAGGACGAATATCACTCAGTTATGTTGTTTTTAAAATACTGTACATTTTTCTCAGCAATTTTTTTATCTAATCTTTGTCCTGTGTAAAATTCCTTGACAGTTTATCATATTAAGTTAACTTCAGCCTGTTGTTTCTTTGATTAAGGCTAAATTGACTTACAATCTGGGCATTTTAGTATTATCTGTCAAATAAAGCCCATTCAGTAAAAGTGTTGAATTGTTATTGAGCGTTTCAAACTACTCTAGCCAAAATACCACCCCATGTCTTTCACTCAAGCCCTGATGTTGTCACCAAAACTCATTAATCATTGTGTGCTTCTTGTTAAAATCCTGATTTGGCTGCTGCAACACAGGAAACAAAAAGGCTGCTTAAAAGAAAAAAGTGGCTTACATTGTTCGTCTTATTTAAAAGAGATGTTGGTAAATGTTTTATTTTTGCTGTGACTTTTTTGGTCAACGGTACTGCATGTTGATATAATCACAATAAGTGATTGACAACATCTGGGACTAAATAACCACTGTTATAAAATCATGAATAGATCTGTCGGTCTGTGTGTGTTTGTGAATACCTTTCGGCAACAATAACTTATGCCCATTCTTCTCACACCAGCCAGCTGGTTTCATATCCCACGAGTCAGCATTGGCCCAGAAGTCGTAGCATTCTGGGTAACCATCAAAGTGGAGCCTTACTCTGTAGCCTTGGATCTGAAAGGCAAATGGACTGTCAGATTATTTATTATAAACAGGGATAAAGATAGATGTGTTCTATTAGCACACGTACCTCTGCAACAGATAGTACACAGAACAGAGAGGGGTGGGACGGGTCCAGCCCCTCCAGCTTCATCCCCACCTTAAAACTGTTCCTGCTCTGAGGAAACGTCTGGTGCTGCAAGACAAATGTTCAATCACAGATCAGTCATGATTTGGCTTGTCATGGACAAAATAAACAAAACCATCTGGTTTGTAAAAATATATAAAAATTGGCCAGTGTTTATGGGTGAAAATACCTCTTTGAATAATTTAACAGGAGCAGCGATGGCTCTCTCCTCTTCCAAGTAAGCCGGCCAGCTCCATGCCCGTTTCTTATTGGCTGGGGCAGTCACTGACGGTGGGGCAAAAACACTGAAGTTGTATGTACAGTAGACTGTGCATGAGGACCTCATCACAATCATGAGAAACATACACATATTTAGAGTCATGTGAAAACATGCCCATAATATTGATAGAACTAATACTAAATAAATACTAACTGCCATATATACCCTCCTTGCATCACACTTACAGATTTACAGCATCTTTATGACTTGTAAAAATAAAGGAAAGACATGAAATGTTATCTTGAGCTGTATATACCCAGTTTAGCAATTTTGGCACCTCTTCTTCCCTTGGTCGTCTTGGCCTTTTCCTACAAAAATGTAAGAAAATGTCAAAAATCATAACTGTCCACAATTTTCTCACCCATCTTCAGTGTTTTCTCAAGTTAAAGTTGAAGAGATCAATTATTAAAATTGAAACATATTGCAAGACCTCAGTGGTTACAGCAAAACACTGAACACTTGAGGGGCTTGTAGCTCTAAGGTTAGCAACACTGGTTAAAAAACAATACAAACACGCTAAACATATGCTCCTTACCTCTGGTTCTTCTTGGTTGTCTTCCTCTTCATCACCAGAATCCATATAGATTTTCCTCTTTTTGCGCACACGTTTACCCAGCCTCTCACCCTCAACTGCTTGACTCTCCCTTGCTTCTGCTGGAGACGATCTGTAGAAACCAAACATTTGGCTGGTGTTAAGACAAATCTGAAAGATAACAAAAAACATTAGATGACATCAGGTGTGGGATTTTACCTGCCGCTGGAGGGCTGGGCACAAATAGAGCTACAGAATTTGCCCTGAAGGAGGGCGTCCCGGGGAACACGGCCACCACAGGCCCGGCACCTTGACAGCTCCCCGTTTGGGCCTGTGTCTGCGTTAGGGCCAACCTCCACACTGGGACCAACCTCCACACTGGGGCCCTCCATAGTGGGGCCTTCCTCTAGAGACAGAAGCACAGGACCGGGGGCTAGAAGACAAAGCACAAAGAAGGGCTAAAGCTGACAGGTCAAGCATTTAAAGAAAAAACTGCACATCTTTACTGAAACATACTTTTAGGGGTTAAACATGTGCTATCATACCTTTACTTTGAGACGATCCTGGCTGACTTTGATTGGCTTTAGCTGCAGCTGTGCCAGTCTGTGATTGGCCCTCCGGAGGAGGAGTGGGCGTGTGAGACTGTGCTGGGTCCAAGGCCTTGCGGTTAGGCTCTGGCTTCTGACCTTTGACCTCCAGGTCTGTGACAATCTCAAGAGTCCCAAACTCTGTCATGCGGAACTGAAAGACACAAGTAAGGTATTCTCATCACTGATAGGTCACTCCTAAATGATCTTGTTTCTTTATTAATCAAGTTACTAGAGGAAAGCCAGAATATGAGTCACACTCCTAAAATATATGACATGCCCTGTGTAATATAGCAGTTATCAAGGTTAATGTTTTCTTTCATTATTGTTTTTTGAAAGAGTAAACAGAGATGGTTTTCATTTCAAGCAAGGTGGCCCACCTCAGCTATAACACAGAACTCTGCTTTTACAAATCTGTGTCTGATCAGACACTAAAAGCACAAACATTAAACACATTATCCTGGACAGGATCATAAATCTCTCTCGTACCCTGATGTCACTTCCTGGCAGCGTTGCAATACCATCCTTCCAGTCCAGGGCACCCATCATATCAAACTCAGCTCCCTGGGAGGGGCCATCACTGGGTGGGGTGTCGGTCATTCCCACTCCTCTGATATCACCAAACTGCAAAAACATAATGACAGTCACATTAAATATACTCTCAACTGATGCTAAAACACTAAGATGTTCAAAATGTGAGGATGAATAGAAAGGTTCAGTCTAAAACTATGACTTAAATTATGCCATTATTTTCCTTCTATTTTGCTGAATGTGTGTGATCATCAGGGGGATCAGCCCCCCGGTTGGTTTTACCTACAAAGTGCTCCAAACTACGAATGCAGTTTGTACATGGACTTGTAAACAGCATTACCAAACATTACCCAACATCACAGCTAGATGGCGACTGTGTGCTGGCTTGCAGGACACCATGCACTTCGATTTTTCACAAACAGTCAATAATAATATTGTTTTGCTGGTCAACTAAGAGGGAAATGCTTGCACAAACGGCCCCATTATAGTGAACCGTCCTCGGGACTATTGACAAACAGGAGGAAAGATGTCTTAACTTGAAGTTAATCACATAAGTTCATCTTTTCCTCGTTTTAACAGTATCTCCTAAAACCGGCTGTTTGCCTGGTTATTAACAACTGAGAGGGTCACCTGTTTATAATTTTCAAAGAAAACACTGTTCCCTGATCTGACTGGCCAAACTTAGGAGCGTTTTAATCCGAGTAATATTACGATATAACGTTTTACTGTTGACGCATGTACAATACTGAATTAAGGAGATATTTTCTGTTTGCATGTAGGGTCATAAGAATGTGAAAAGTAAACAACAGCCCGAGCTAATGTATCTTGGTTAAGTTTGACTTTCCACTTAATACCTCAGTTTTATTCTAGCCATTAATAAAGTGTCTGTAGGAGCGCCCATGATTAGCATTCGTCTTATACAAAATGGCGGAGCATAGGAAGAGGCCACCAACACGTTTAAACTATGTAAATTACTCAAGTTACCCATTTAAACAAATCATGCAAAGCTGCTACACCTCGAACAAAAGCAAATGCTTGCGGTGTAATTTCCTGACTTTGTGTTTTCCGTCACTCGAGTTATTTTCTTCACTTTCCCCTTGTCACGGAATGTCAGCCCAGGTTGCTAGCTAGCGCTGACATGAAGCTAACAGTCAGCTAGCTGCACTCCGTTCAACTGAACTGAGGTTTGCTAGACAGCTAGCCCTAGCATTGTGACTGGATGCTGCCAGCTAAGGACAATCTGTAATAAATAAGTTTCCCGGTTAATAACAATAGGAAAACGCATAATGCAAAACACCAATATTTCGCACAATATCACACACACGCACAATAACATCACGCTAGTGTTACGAGCTTCAACATTGTTGCTTGATTAATTTCTTCAATAGAAACTTGAAAAAAAACGATTTATTCTCGCCGTTTTAAATCAGAGTGGAAATAACGTAAACTAATAAGCAAGACGAATGCCGCTTTTCCCAAAGTGTGCCAATGCTAACAACAATAAATTAGTATTAAAGGCAGTGTTGTTTAAAATGTGGAACTCACCTCGTTTCTGTTTTAACTCTTATTTAGAGCTGCTGGATAGAAGGATGCGCATGCGTGCAAGATGCGCTGCCTGACAACTTTGGGTCTCGGAAAAGTTCAGTTTACTATCGCTGGTCAATACTAGGCCTGTTTACACTTATAACACGCCCAAAAACTCTGTTCAGTTCCGATATAACGATTTCTACCGATGGACTGAAGCTTATATCCCCGTTTTGCTCACAACTGCCAAAGAAGTAATTCCCTAAAGAAGTACGACAGTGTATCAATGAGCGCGGGGACCGCAGTGTGTTCCATAACCGATGATCGGAGCGGTTCCCCTGTCGTTAACTGGTGTTACAGTAAACCCTACCGTAAAACAGCTGATTTGTGTAGATGCAGTCCGAGCACAGGCGATAATCAGTTTAAATACGGCGCTGCTAACTGTAGGATTAAACACTCAGGCCGGTAAAATCAACCGAAGTGACATTTTCTAACCTAAAAACGACCTAAAAAAACGTTACTACACAAGACGTTGCACTAGTTTGGCTCTTAAAACATATCCACAGTTAGGTCGGCTGGTGCGTATGAGAGCTGTCCCCTGCAGTAACGTTGAAAGAAGTCGGAAGGATAAAAACACACTGAGTTTAGCATAATAAAACCCGTGTGTTATGCCAAATGACTACTGCAGGGTTACATTTGTCCGGAATGTAATATCGACAAAGCCAGTGTATCGGACTGTGTGATCAACTACAATTTGCATCAGTAGGCTACTGGATGATAGTTTTGGTATTTTTTTGTGGCAGTCCAACCATTTAATTAAATAGTACGATTACTATGGGCGTGTATTCCTTCCTGTGGTTTTTAGGATTAATTGAAAGTATTTTTTGGGTCGGTGATGGTAATGTTGAACCATATCATCTCCTCCTGCAGTATTCAATCCCTCCCACATAGGGCGGTTATGGTTTCTCCGGTGTGTAATAAAGATACAGATTTTATGGGCCGATTTAGCCATCATTTTTGATGAAATACACTCCGTCTACACACAACATCGTCATAGTTTGCGAGACCATGCTTACCCTTGTTATCAAACAGTTATATTGAGAGAAAAGTCTTTATTTCTGTCAACAAAGGCCGCCCAGATATGAGGTGAAATGAGTTCAATGCTCGGTTGTAGAAGCGGCGGCGCTGCATTTTGTGTCCTGTGTTCATCGCTAGATGGCAGAAGAAGGCAATTTTTCAAGGGGATTAACGAGGTTGTATATCGTGCTGCTGCAGCCTGGATTATTTTGTAATATTACATCACGTAAAAACCATGAAATGGCATTCAAAAGCAAAGCGGTCGAGTCCAAGGTAAGAGGACAGTGTTTCATGTGTAACATTTCTCTGTTAACAGTCGGGTTCGACTGAATACAAGCTACATAATGTCCTATAGAAAAAAAGAGGACGCGACAAGTACGGTTATATCCGATGCCTATTTGTTTTCGTTATAAGGATTTTAAGCATAACTGTAAAGTCAGGTTTTTCAGATAAAGTCGCTGTCTGCCTCCTACTGCAAATAGCCTACACTGTAGGACTGCATAGCTCTGGGTTAGTGTTGAAAACACATGTGTTGATATCTATTACAGAAATTAGATGGAGAATTGTGATATATTCTGTTTCATTCCTACAGACCGTGTTCTTCAATCTCCTGCTATGTCTGGTCATATTTTACTCTCTTTTTTACATGATTGGGAGTGTGTGCTTTGGTGCCTTCAGGTGAGGATCTGTCACACGCATGCGCGCAGGCACACCACCCTTTGAAAGCATCATTATCACACTGTAAATACTTCAAGAACATTCTTATTTTGTTTAATGTTCTCTCTGCATGTAAATGAAATAGTGTTTTTGAAAATGAAAACACATAGGAAACCAGGGCAGGCAGTATGTCTTGTTCTGTAGGTGAAATATGATGCCCTGTGTAGTCTGCAGTTTGTATTTGGAGGTTATGGGATGCATACATATACCACAGACAGCAGGGGTACAGGGCCAGACATATTTTCTTGACAAGGGCCCCATTGCAGCTTATTTTGCCGTAGATCCACCTTTGCTCTAGTGACTCCAGAGAGGTGATTCTGTTTATCTGCACCATATTGTTTATCTGGAGGCACCCTACCTGTTACAAGGTAGACAACATAAGAGCTGAGATGTGTTCACATTTTACAGAGGATTAACAAACTTTCCTGTAATTCCTTACAGTACTTTTCCTTCTTATTGCATATTTCTCTCTTCTCATGTAGGTTGGATAATTTTGATGGATTGATTCCATTTGACTTTAAGACCGAACCCGTTGAATCCAACTCCAAATACTTGGGTGAGTGCAGCCAATATGATCAACAATTTGCATTAACTTTTTTAACTTCATGTATTCTTCCTGGTTTGGTATTTTTCAGTAAACCTCCTATCACTGGAGCTCACTTACTTTTGCAGTGGCCTTTTGTTTGCTGCAGTGGTGAAGAGGCGGGTATGGGACTATGCCCTCACAGTCACATTTCTGCATGTTATTATCACCAGCCTAGGTGAGTGGTAATGTAACAAACACATCTACCTAGGTACACACACATAGCAAAAAAAACGTGTTATTAAACCGCATGTTTTGTTTCCATGTTGCAGTGATGTTGGAGTTTCCAACGGTGTGGCAGTGGTGGCTGGCTCTTGGTAAAATGTGCCTCTTATCTGTTAGTTTTTGCATTTAAAAGGGACAGTGTGTAGTATTAGGCATCTAGCGTTGTAGTTAACTAATGAAAAGATCTGACCCCTCTGCTCACCCCTCTTATTATAATCAATCAATGTTTATTTATATAGACCAATATCACAAATGTTATTTGTCTCAGTGGACTTCACAGTTTGTACAGAATATCAGTATGACAATACGACACCCTCTGTCCTTAGACCCACCTTTATTATAAGCATGCAGTAACTTGCCACCAAGTGCCAACCCTTTGTAAAGAGCATGGTATCTTTCAGGACTGTTTACTCACACTGAGGCAAACCTTACCATAACAATACGTGTGTCAGAGAACTACAGTGGCCTTCATGTAACTTAAAAATGCTAAAAGACCTTTCTAGAGACACATTTATTTTGTCCATTCTAAGCCTGAAAACTTATGAAGATAGTATTCAATTTCTGCTAATATATCCCCTTTAATAGTACATCATCATCATCATCATCATCATCATCATCATCATCATCATCATCATCATCATCATCATCATCATCATCATCAGCTTTATTTAAAGAGACTCTTGGTCCATTTAAAAAAAAGACATACAACACTCAAATATACATTTAAAAAAGTTAGTTATACCAATGTTTCCAAAGAGGTGACTGGTACCGTACAGCACTGAGACACAGATTTGAAAGCAGCATAATGACAGAGTTATGAGAAACATTCAATCGACAGATGAATTTGTACATCATATTTCTCAAGAGAGCATGGAACGTGTTGACTCGTGCATTACAAAAAATGTCACTTGCACTGCACCACCTTGGTTTTCTAAGCAGTATACGCAAACAATCATTATTGGAGCTTCTGGAGGCTCGCCTTCTTAACTTCACCCACAAGGGGGCAGTATAGAGAAGAGTACAATCAGCTCTAAAGAGGTTCACCTTAACCTTATCTGAACACCAAGATAATTTTCTAGCCAACATGTTAGCTTGTGTATATAAGACACGCCGCTGTCTATTCATGTGATCATCATCATCATCATCATCATCATCATCATCATCATCATCATCATCATCATCGTCATCGTCATCATCATCATCATCAGCCATTTTATCTGTAATGATGTGTCCCAGATACTTAGTGTTACAGCAAACAGACAGCACCTGTCCTGACAGAGAATGTTGGAAAACCAAGGTTCTTATCCCCTTTTGCTCTGCAGATTATTACAGCGCTCTTCTTAGCATTGTATTTAACATCAAAGTTGACACCATAATCAGAACATACATTTAGCAACTGTTGAAATCCAGCACTGCTAGGAGAAACAATAGCCAAATCATCGGCATATATAAGATGGTTTACAATCACATTACCAATCACACACCCTGTTTTAGTAAACTACCTCACGGCGGCTTGTGCTCTGTCATAGCCTCAACAATGCGCCCAAGCTGCTCCTCCTTAAGAGAGATAGCAGCAATACCCAAGGCCGTAGAACTATGCCATGGGAAAAGAGACAGTAAAGAGAGAAAACGATTAACTGGGTCGAAAGTTGAATACCTAAGCAAATTATTCCCTAACACAACCCAAACTCTACTCTTCGTCTTTCTCTCTGCAGACAGTAATGTTCTTTTTGTATGACTGACTAGACTTTCTTGCAAAAAATCAAATTCAACAAATGGTTTGATTCTTTATCCACATTTGATAAATATGCAGCAATGTGAAGTTCCATATTCTCACCACTGGAGAGCAGCACCACCATTCCCTCACCTCTCACTGCATGTCCAGAAGGTCTGTCCATGTGCTGACTTTCTGTGCCAAATGCCTGTCTGTCTGTTCAAACAAACACTCCTGTCAAAACAGTTTCAATCTCACCTGACAGACTTTACTGCTGATCTGGCAAATGCAACTTTCAACATTTGGATTGGATTTCATTTTGTGTGTCTGAACAGCTCCGCCACTGTAATTCTGATATACTGCACATGTTTCAATAAATTGTTATATTCTTATTGTACTATATATGTTTATATCTATTTCTTGTTAACATTTATTTTTATTTTTACAATAGTTTTTAATACAGATGTTATAATAGATGGATATTTGTTCATTTTGTACAACTTCATTGTGGTTCCATACTGTTTAATTGGCATTTTTAGGTTTTGTAAAATTAGACGATATCCTGTATCTCTGCTGTAACAGGTTAAATGTGTGTTTAACAAACCAGCTTTTTCTTCTTCATGTGGAAAGATGGACAGTGTACACAAAACGCAGCATCCCATCTTTTTGTCCTTAGTATGATTGAAAAAAAAAAACTGTTAGTGTAAAGCACACAGCCAACTAGCAAATGACATTTTCTCATGAATAATGTATGATTTGCACATAGATCCTCATATAAAAATAAAAATACATAGTTAACAAGTTAAATGTTAAAACAGAAGCGTGGTCTTTTATAAGATCTGTTGTCGTTTTCAAAAAACACAAATGTCTGTAGTATTTTTTGTGTTGAATAAAATGTCATCATAACCTTTTTTGGCCTAAGGGACACACCCTCTGGCTCTTGTGATCACAAACCTGGAAAGAAGCCCAGATGACAAAGCAGGAAACCTCCGGTCTACATTAGAATGGAAAGGTCATCCCCACAAATGTGCATTTAATCCAAAAATACCAGTGTTTGAAATAAAAATTCCATGGAAAAGCAGGGTTGTTTACTTTACACCACGAGCATTCATTTGAGTGTTTTGAAGTGAACGCCGTCAACCTTTGGACTCACTGTTGACTTTGAAGACTCACACTTGACTTTGTCTGACGGGCTGAATCATTTAAACCACAAACAATGGTCATGTACAGCTGAATGGGGAGGAGGTTGAACTAAAACTGCCACAGTCAAAGGCTTAGATCCCATGGGAACAATGCACACTACAAATGCAGGTTACACAGTAACAGTTTAGCCTGAACAGTCAATATGATTATAGAGTGTTATGTGCACATGTTACAGGCAATTAATAGTCAGCCTTTATTTTTAATATATCTATACAAGAATTTCAGTTGAAACCATTCATTTATACTCACATGCTAACTAATCACTATCTTAATTGTATTTTCAAATGTAAGCCACATGCTGAAGTGAACAAAGTAAGAATGATGAGTTTTTATTTGGGGACTAGAGAGTAAAGCTACTAGTGTTCCGGTTTGATATCCGCTGCCATGCGATTTCCGGTTTGGGCGTTTACCTCCAAATTAAAAGCGGCAGAATGACAAGTTTTGAGGGTAACCCATTTTTAAAAAATACATTTTGGTTTTAAAAATCACATTAATACAGTCAAACTACGGTGATTTTTGTACTTCCTAAATGTTGTGTGAATGTCAGTGTGCTGCTCATAGACTAAAGTTGCTGCTAAACTACTGATCTGCAGCATGGAATGTATGAGTGCAGAGGTATTTTTGTATTATATATTTCATTTTAAGAAATATTGGCTTTCCTAGATGAATATACAGTAACATAGTTTAGTATCATTTAGTTTGTTATAATATAGGCAGTGATGTTAAGTAACAAAGTACAAATATATATATATATATATCTATATTTTATACTTAGTACTTCTACCCCACTACAATTCAGCGGTAAATAATAGTGTACTATAACAAATTTATTTTTGAATCTTAAGTTATTTTGCAGACTTGGATTAATTATATGGTATGTAATCAAAAATCTTAAATAACTTTAGTCAAACCTGAAGTATGTCCACAAACACATTGCACTATACAAATGAATTATGATTAGCTCCACTTTAAACTGCTGTGTTAAATACATTATTGCATCAATAATTACAATCAAAACATTTAATATATATCATTCTGATATTGTCCAATCTGTAAACGAGTACTTTAAGTATATCTTGATGCCAAAACTTTTTTAATTTTAAGTAACATTTTGAATGCAAGATTTATACTTGAAACCGAGTATTTCTGCTCTTTGGTAGTTCTACTTTTACTTTAGTAGCCAATACTTCTTCCACCTCTGAGTGTAGATTGTACAACATATTGTAATGGAATGGTTTGTGTTAAATGTAACTTTGTGGAAATGACACCTTTATTCTGAAGAATTCGACCGGAAGTGTGATTGTTGTCACTGCTTGCGGAACACACTGATCAGCCCTCTCTCTTGTAGAAGCTGTTCACACAGCAGCCTCCGCCGCAACGAATGGAGGCGAACGGGTGAAAGAGATTTCACTGAGGAACTGTTTCACTATCAACACATCTTTCCGTCGGAGACGAGGAGGATTTTATACAGATATTATTTCCGCGGGCAGAAGAAACGCCTCATTGTTTTAAAAAAAGTCGAATTGCTTCCCTTTTTCCCCCGTGAACAGATCGATTGCCTGTCATTTAAAAAAGGGCGTGTGTGCGAGGCAGTCTTCACCATTTAATGTGGGTATATGGTGTTTTAAATATTTTTTACACCATCTGGGTCTGAAGGACAGAGTCGAAGATGGGATGCACACTGAGCACAGAGGACAAGGCGGCGGTGGAGCGCAGTAAGATGATCGACAGGAATCTGAGGGACGACGGGGAGAAGGCGGCGAGGGAGGTCAAGCTGCTGCTGCTCGGTAAGGGGACTCGGTTCGCCGGACGAACTTCGGCGAAGTGTGTTCGCCTACAGCCGTTATAGAGTGGGGAGCCAGCCCTGTCATTAAAACCACATTGGTGTATGTTCATTCTCTGGTTAATGGTCAGTTTTAGGTGGTGTCAATTAGAAAATGTTACGAAGTTTTAATTCCGCATCGGTAGAATAACGTCGTCTCCTCCTTGTTAGCTTTAGTTTACCGTCAACTCTGGTCATTAAACACAACATAACGTTATTTCCAAGTAGTTAAATGACACTATCCAAAATATCCAAAACAGAACATCAATTCGTGTTTAAATTCGTTTTTTATCACACTTGTAGTCACACTTTTCATTTTTGTTAACACTATGTCCATTCAGCAGCCTATGAAGAGCATTTGTGTTGACTAAATCCTTACAACAATGGCACATTTCCTCTCGTCTAGTCCATTACAATGCAGTGAAATATGCTCGTGGCTTATTAGGGGCCCAGACCTGACTGAATGTAGGCTAACTAAAAACTTAGTTGGGTCCAGTCAGTTTAGGTTGTTTAGAGACCCTATCCCTGGTTTTAAATTAAAAGTAGTGTTATCTACAGTTTCCTTTGTTTAATTCCTTATTGCCTCCCTTGTCTTTAACCCATCTCAAGTTCAAGATGCATGTAAAGATATCCGAAAAGGGCAAATATCTTGCGCAACAAATCCAGGAAATTACAATAATGAAAGGTAATTTAGTTTGAAGCCTCATGAACATGACAATACAATAGCAGCCATTGAAACATAAATGCCATTGATCATCTTAAATAAGTAAGCAGTTGTATGACATGACATGCTGATGTAGATATAATGGCCTAAGACCCTTTCATTACTCTCTGCAGTAGCCAATTTTGACTCCAAAGCATTTTCACATTCGCTCTATGTTGGTGTCTAAGAATCCACTATGATTATGGTAAATCGATATACCTCCTTAAAAATCTACCACAAGAATGTTTTATGAATAGCGCAGTAGGCTTTTATACTACATTTTTGTAATGTCTTGCATTCATTACATGTGTTTGTCACGTCAAAGCTTCTTCTTACAACCCTGTATGCACAATTACGTGAAGTGCTTTAATTTAGAAGCCAGCCTTGTGTACATTAACGGCATTACTTGCATATGGAGAAACACTGTTATCCTTGTAAATAGAGACCGTAGGTGAAAAACTTTTCCATCAACCCCTGAGGTGGCTAGCGTTGGGAAATGTTGACATGCACACACACATGGTATGTGGGTAACCAACCAGGACAAGAAATCTGAAACTAATACCAATATCATGCAAACGGCTGACAGAACGCACAACATAAGAGCTTTTGTGGACTGATTTGTGAACAAAAACAAGATAAAATGTCCTTGTTTTTTTCCTATAATTTCGCAACTCCTTTCTAACATTGGTTTTTCATTACATTTAATTCAAGGGATGTTTTCTTTGAAGATTGTTTGAGATATTTAAAACATTTAGTGAGTCGTTGGTATAATTTAGTTTGAATAAGAATGCACATGCTTTCTCACTAAAGGTAGACCACATTCCTCAGGTGCCAGATGAGACTTGCTGATTGAACTGAGCAAGTTTGGTCAAGTTTCTGCTATGCTGCTGTAGGGTGGAATACTAGTTTTTATCAGCCTTAGCTCTGACACACACCATACAACGTTAGTTTAACCACTCTGTTTTTGGTTCATCAGCCTTTGTGACAGTTGTGTGCCAGGTCGTGTGGCCCCCACGCGTGGCGGACTTGGCACCGTTTGTGTTTTTATCCATTCAGCATGGCAGCCTCTTCAGGTTACTGCCATTGACAGGCTGTGACACCAGTAGAAAGAAAGAGAGGGGCAGTAAGATGAGAACAATGCTAAAGCATTAAAAATGAAAAGGCTCTGCTGCAGAGAGACAGGGTGGCTCGAATCAGGAGTTTAAGTTGTTTATCTTGCGGGTAAATAGTCACTGAAAATATTCAGTTTTGAAGTTGTTGATTCGTAAGCATTTCTGGAGTAGACTTTTCTCTAAACACACCCAGTCAACACCGATATAAAGTCAGTAAAAACTTGTGGCTTGGTAGTTAAAGGCTGTAAGCATTGTGGAGTTGTGTTGTATCCAAGATGACCACACACAGAGGATCCATTTCCTGTATCTGTTTCATATGGGTTTTGCCACTGCCATGCCCCTTTTTAGAAAACTAACTGCAAGGCTGAGGTCCATTAACCTTAATGGGAGAAGTGCGCATTAACACAGACTGTTTTGCTCCACAGTAAGGCTGGGCATTCTAATGATGTATAATTATATAGATATGGTGTCTTTTTTCAGATTTTGAAGGCCGAATTACAGTGAATGATGAATGATCCCAGGCAGTCCTTATTTTCCCAATACTGATTTTTGCTTAACAAATAACTCATTGTGTAAATATTCAGCACCACTGATCAACTCACGAATACTGTTGCAATATCTATATCAAGGTGGCTGGTCAAAAATATGGCATTATTAGATTTCTTTGGAATGACACTTCAAGAGAAAATTAACTTTGCTTGAGAGTGATTTTTCTTCCAACAAAGTCTCGCGAGGTCTGGCAACACCAAACGTTAACGTTACTCAAACTGTGTCAAAATGTGAAGTTATGTCAACTAACAATTTCACACTTCCTACAGTAGGTTACACATTTTTTTTCATATATCCTAAATATGTTGATGTGTTAACATCTAATTTAATTTAAGCGCTATCAAATCTGAATATGCACTATGTCTATGTCCAATTTGAGACAGGAAGTTTATCCCATTGATACCATTGGGGCTGCTTGCAATATGTATTTTTTTGTCATCAAGCTTTTGTTGTATGAAATGGAAGTTACGACTTCTAAATGAGTTGAAGTTTGTGTATACATCAAACATCTGGTGCTTTGGGGAGTGACAGGTTTATGTGTTTACCACCTGGTTCTCAGTGCTACCCTAAATGTTAATCACAGGCTTATGTGTGCTCCCTGTCACTGACCTAAAATCGTTAAGCTGACGTAAAAAAACTCCAATTTACATGAAAATGATTTGAATTTGAGTCTTTGTACACACACTGTCAAATCCAAACTACCAGGCAGGCTCAGGTGTCCTTTAGAGAGGAGGGTGGACATCTTTTCTCTCCTGAAAACTGAACATATTTCTCATTTAGCTCTTTGTCTTTATTTGGCTCTTATTTGATTCCCATAATCTCCAGGACCCAATTATCCTACTATTCATATCTACGTGCTAAAATAGATTACAATCTCCTCAGCCTAATTACTCTTTCTATAGCTGTCGCGCAACTGTGGGAAGATTTTTATTAATAATCCTCAGCCTTTCTCCACCATTGGTCATTTTGCCCTCTCTAATGTTTGCCATGTTTTAATGATGTAACCAGACATGTATGGATGTGCTTTGTTATCTTAAAAATGCGGGGTAATCAAATGAAGTTGTCCGCATTCCAACATCTCTTTGTCCGCATCATTAGACATCTCCTCGAACAGTTTGGTCTGTCCCAGTGTGTGGGAAACAATCTTTCAGCCATCGATCTGCTTGTTGGCAGTTCGATCCCTCTGGTCGTTTACCCTGGTGGTTAGCGCAAAGCATGGAGGCTCCTGGAATCTTTCATGAATGACTCATATTTAAATCCCCTCAGAGGGAGAGGAAAAAGAGGAATTGGATATTAAGCGAGAGGAACAATAAATCATATTGGGAAAAAGGACTGAATGTAAAAGAGGAAGATGGATATTTATGAGGGAATAAGAGTGGAAAACACAGAGAAGGGAGTGGGGCTGGATGGTGTTTGGCTGCTAATGTGGCATCACTAATGTGGTTTGCACATTGTGCCAAGCCCTCTAGAAGCCCTTACATTGCTCACTAAAGAGGACATGTTGGGGTGGCTGCGTGGCCCCTATAAACCCCCTGACCCGCACAAACGTATCTTCATGCCGTTGATCTGGAGCCTGAAAAATAGTCTTTTGCCATCTTTACTTTGGTTTGCATGCAAGCCCACTTTGCTGATTCTCCAAGAGATTTAGCAGACACATTTGGTTAATCTGTAAATGGAGAAGGCCCAGGCATGGTAGCCATTTGAATCACATTCATCTCCATAATGCTATTGTTTTCAAAGCCTCATCCATGCTGCCTCACGAAGATCAACCAGAGGAAGTTCCAAGAGAAAAGATGTGTTTGTGGTTGGGGGATAGAAACAGCTCTGTTCTTTGTGCAAGAAGAAAAAAAACGCTCCAGTTTTACTTGTTGGGTTGGATTTTCCTAAAATAGTTTGAACCGCTAGAAACAGAAACCAGCTGCTCCAGTGGTTTGGAGTCTGGAGCAGTTTTGGGGTGGGTGTATCAAAGCTGTGGGTGTGTAACATGACTCTGCATGAGGACTTATAGGTCAGGCTTGTGGTGCCATGTAACCCTTGATGGTCCATGTGTGAGGCAAAATTCAGGAAGACTGAACATCAATGTGTGTTCTGTATCCCTTTGACCTAAAAACTTTAACAAGATCCACACCCTAATGATATCACTGGTGTAGAAGGACCAGAGCCAAGTCACTTGCATAAGCGCTCCCATCTCATTGATTATGATAAAGACTGAGACACCAAATCTATGGTTTTCATCCAATTTTAACCATTGGAACGCTTAGAATTAGTAGGCAGGCTTATTACCATTTCAGTTGTGCGGCTGATGCTTTCAATGTCAGTACACTGGTCTTTCGTATCGTCGTTACTATGATCTAAAGTGGAAAAATATGGCAGAATTTACAGCTACATATTCACGATTACAGTAGATTCACTTGACGTCATTGTCTTAATCCCTGTGGGGAAAAAGTTCATCACAACATCGAAGGATTTCTCAACCAATGTGACTCACCTTTCCTAATGAATTAAAGCATCAGTTCTCAGAAATGTCATCAAAAGTCAGCAGAACATTCTTGATTATCTAGTTTTATGTTCTTATATTCAAGGGGATTTCCTCCATGAAAAGAATTTGTTTATTATCACAACTATTTTCTGATTAATTTGGTTAAAGCTCTAACTAAAGATATTTTTTATTAAAAACTGTTTGGTTTACAAACTGTAAAACTAGTGAAAAAAGAAATCCAAGGTGAGGTCTTCTTCTAATGTATTGTACTTACATTTAAAAACCCTCGCATTTGAGTGTCTAAAATAAGGAGTTATTTTGAATTTTTACTAGATAAATTAGATAAGAGGCCTTTGTTTTTGCTGCTTATAACATTTTTTTTTATCAAACAAAGCTGTAAAAAAAGCCTCAGTAACCTAACCTTTAATAAGTTACACAACTGAGGTTAGCTAACATCTTCTTTATAAGGATGCTTCTTTGAACTGTGGGCTCATAGCTCGCCCTAAGTGGATTTTCATGCATCCCACATTGAGGGGAGCTGTGTGGGTATGTGAAGTCTCGGTGGCATGGTGCAAATGGCTCTTTGCCTGGCCAAGGGGGGCAACCTTGCCAACTCGCAGGCCAGTCGTGTCTCTCACACAGATTCACACACCCAGTGTCGGGCTTCAGAGTACAGAGAGCTGCCGCGGTGCCGTCAAGCCTCCCCAGGGCTCTCCGGCACCCGAGTGGTAACACGTAATTAAATTGTGTCCTCAGGTGAATCCCATCTAATTATCGTGGAGGTGAGGTGCCAGCACTGTTCCATCAGCATGCAGTACTGCTGAGGGAAAGTTTGTAGGAATGCAGACTGATAGTGTGCCCGGTGCAGCAGGATGCATTAAAACATGTTATAAATAACTCTCAGAGGACTGTTACTTACAATGTGAAGCAGGCTGATTTACTAATGGCTTGTCGAAAAAGTGTCTCATTTAGAAGTTTATGCAACATGAAAAGTGGAACTAGATTTTGCCGATTTAATTATTATGCAAGAGCAGATCATCTAGTCTCTGCTGACTGGATCACGAGGTAATGCTGTAGACCTAATGGTATGATTCGACTTCCTCTTATTCTGTTTCTGGAGCTGAGAGGGGAAGCTGGGGGTGTTTACTCAGGGAATTGCCACTCAAGTGGTTTGAAACATCTTCCCTCGTGGCCAGGTGCCTTCAGTGTAACCTCCTTAGAACACGCTGCTGTAATATGAGGACATTGCATTAGTAGATGTAATGTAGTTTCTGGTAATACCCTTTAGATGCTGATGAATGTGGTTTCATCACAGATGGCTTTGATTCGAAAAAAATATTCCAATACAACGGCCACTTCCAAGTGACCGGTTACAGTAGAGGAAACTAAGCCACATATACATAATATATAATTTTCCCATGTCGCACACACGCACACACACACACACACACACACACACACACACACACACACACACACACACACACACACAACCACAAAGCCTCGTCAGGTGACTGCAGCCTCACATTGGAGATGTAATGAGAGCAGTTGTCGTGGCGTAACTATCGACGGTGCAGCCGGTGCAACACACCGGGGCCCAGAGCCGGCCAGGGGCCCATGCAAAAAAAATAAAAATAAAAATATTTTTTTGTATATATCTTTTACATTTTTTTTTTTGCCCCAATGGCATTGACCGGTTCACGCAATCTTCAAAGTAACCAAGCAACCTAAATTAATTTGTAATTTATCTGTCCAATGACCTTGCTCCCTTTCATGTCATGGGATACCTTGAGTGACGAGCGAACCGTTTAATCCACCTGTACTGTACTGTAGCTAGCAGCAGCAAGTTCGGCAGCATTATAAAAGATGTAATAACTTGCATTTATAATGTACAGACCAAAGCACAAGAGCGGCGATCAAAAGAGAAAAGACTAGAGAGTGTATGTCCGTGCGTGTGGGAGTGCATCAGCATGTGCTTATGTTTGGGGCGATGGGGGGGGCCCAAAACAATATTTGCACCGGGGCCAATCACAACCTTGTTACGCCACTGCATGGCACTGTGACGTTTGAGCGATCCGCAAAGCAGAAGGCGTGCCAACACTATGCTCCCACCACTGTCTCCATCCCAGTGTTGTATCATTCATCGGTCAACTACAACAATGTCATTCAGTTTTGGCCCCGAGTGCCCCCACATGCTGAGCTGACAGCATGTTTATTCACAACTCCATAATAATCTATCTCATCTTTAGTTGTGTGCGAGCCAAGAGCCTTGATGATGTGATTATTTTGCTGATAAAATTCCAAACACACCTACAGTAACGCCAAACTAGAGCGAGCTTTATCACAAAGCGAGACTTCTGACTGAGCTTGTTGCCATCAAACAAATGAGTAAATCTGCCTGGAGGAAGGGACAAACTCAATCACCGGGGACATACACAGACTTTGGGTTGCACACACACTCTCTATATGTCATTTGATTTATGTGGTAACGCTCAGGTTTCATAATAATGGTTCCTTATCATGCCATTTGGCCACATTACATCATCATAAAATGCAGTATAGGAAGTGATCTGGGTGACGTGGGTTAAAATGGGTATGACTCGGGCAACAATGACCTCTTGAGATATTTACACTCTAATAAATGTATTTTTCTTCTTTTCTAGGCGCTGGCGAATCAGGGAAAAGTACAATTGTCAAGCAGATGAAGTGAGTTCATTTTGCTGCTGTTGCATCTCATCATTCCGCACACTGAACAATCAAAACAACCCTTTTTTTTCTCCAGCGTATCAACAGTGACTTATTTTCCCATCAGATATGCATAATGGCACAGTATTCATTTTGCTCAATACAAACAGTGTCAAACAGCAATCATGCTTTTATAGCGTCTCTGAGTATTATTTATGGTCTGAGAATCACATCGAAAACAGCTACCATATATAATTGATCATGACGACAACCCGGCAGAATACATTAGGACTAACTCCATACATCATCCACGTAGTGCGCGCGACCTACATGAATTACATTTTACACAAGCACGCTCATGGTATCGCTCATAAATCAGCAGACATACAGAGATGCAGATTTTAAGCAGCTGCTCAGTTTGATATTTCTATTGGTTCTTTACCTGTTGAAGATGTATAGAAATTGTATTATACTTACAATCAAAATAATAATACATAAATCCACTGTAATACTAGTGTGCTCGGAGATATCCGTTTTACCATATCTGTCGGATTTAAGGAAATTATTTTAAACAAACATTTGGTTAATTTACCAATTTGCCCAACCCTGCATATTTTGGCTGAAAAATGTTGTAAAAGATATTGAAAAGTCCAAATAACAAGCAGATGAACCAATATTGAAAATAATAGTTTTTTGTAACACATTCAGCTTTTGTTGTAAAAGCCTGAGAGCTTGCCCCTTATCTTTTGAGTTAAACAACACATTCAATAAATACATTAAAAGATAATAAATTGAAAGTTTATATTTTTTGTTTGCATGCAGATGCTTCTATCCAGAGTAAATTACATGCAACTGTAGAAAAAGCTTATTTCCCCTGACTAACCATGGTTCAAGTAGCCAGGAATGAGAAGCTTAAATATCAGGACCAATGTGGCCTGATTATATTTCACCACATATAACCATTGGACATATGTCAGAGAAAAAGGATATTGAATGAAAGCGGAGGATGAAAGTAAGTGATTTTTGAGAAAGCTGAAAAGTAGAACACATTATTCACCGTACATATTTCTTCATGAGTGTTTTCTATCTATCGTGGTAGCATTTGGAAAAATGTGGTTATGGTTTGACTGTCTTTTCCTCCTTTTTCTTTCAGGATCATCCACGAGGCAGGCTACTCAGAAGAGGAATGTAAGCAGTACAAGGCTGTGGTCTACAGCAACACCATCCAGTCCATCATCGCCATCATCAGAGCCATGGGGCGCCTCAAGATCGACTTTGGCGATGCCGCGAGAGCTGTGAGTGACAGAGAGGGTCATCTGGTAGAGTAGAAACCTGGAGGGAGTCGGGGGTGTTGGAAACAAGCTAGTACATTGAGTAAACTGTCAGCAAACACTCCTGGGAAAGTAAGACACGGCCATCCCCTCCCACCCCTACCATGGAAACCCATAGAGAGATACAACTTTAATCAAAGAAGCACATTGATTCCATGTACAAAGAAAAGAAGCAAAATAACACAAGTAAACAATAATAATAAATATAAATGTAATTTAAATAACAAGCAAAGACAGATAAGTGAATACAAGCTTATATAATTGGGTGAAAAAAAAAAAGGAAATAAAATATTAAAAGGTTTTGAAAATAAATAAAAATGTTCCGCTATTCGGTTGGGGGTGTTTTGAGGTTATTGAAATCAAGCACTGCCATTTATTATAAAAACGGTCTGCAGAGCACCTAATAGTATATTTTATCTTCTCAAGTTTGAGAAAGAATACCTGGTCCTCAAGCCAAATATTTAACTTTTAAGTTGAGTTTTGTATAAGGTGATGTTTTTGAGCTTCTGCCTTGATCGGTTGATCAGAAGCTATCTCTGCAAAATCCTTATAACCTTGTGACTGGCATTTCAGCTTGGTAGCAGCCGGTCATTGTTAATGATAATAGCGGTTTAAATGACTTGGATGGTTGATTTATGATCCTGACTTTATTGCCTCCCCTCTCTCAGGATGATGCGCGGCAGCTGTTTGTGCTGGCGGGCTCCGCAGAGGAAGGCTTCATGACGGGGGAGCTGGCCGGTGTCATTAAGCACCTGTGGAAGGACGGAGGTGTTCATGCCTGCTTCAGCCGCTCTCGCGAGTATCAGCTCAATGACTCGGCAGCATAGTGAGTCACATAACACACAACATTAAAAAAAAGTTGCATTTTTATTCCCAAAATTATGATTCACTCAAGGAAAAACCTCCAGCACACCAATTCATGTCAACAAATGCCCAAACTAGTGCCATTCCTCTACAAACACAGAAAGCTGCTGCCTTAACAGTTCTTATTGCCTCTCATCATGCTCAGAGAGCAGAAAGCCCCGGCACCATGTATCTGCCTGGACTTTTAAACTGTCAATATTTGCCCTCCTCAGCGAAGCCTGAAGAGCAGAGGCTGGAAAGCCAATTAATCCAGGACCTTACACCTCAGCACAGGAACATTTGTCACATGCTTAAAAAGAAGTGATCACAACCCTCTGCATCTAAACTGCTCCATTGTTTTCCTTGGCCAGCCTGAAAGTTGTATATGTTGTGCAAGAGCCGTTGGCAAAGAGAGAGATGATATCATCATTTTGTGAGGAAAAAAGCAGTTGCCTTGTTGTGCTCTGAAGCAAACATCAGTGTTTATGTAGCAGGCCAAGGGCGCTGCAGTTGTTGCTCTTTTCTATTTGGTTCCTATAATCCTGCTGTCCAGGGGCTTTTCATGAATAGGAAACACCATGTCCTGAACCTTGTGTGTTTTTACTGTTTAATACCTTGAAAAACAAACAAAAGGCCTGTTAGCGTAAAGGGGAGATTACTAGTGTTTGTCGGATAGCAACTAGAGGTCACTAATCTTTCTTCCCATTGTAATTTTTCAGCAATAACCTTGAGTGCTTAGGTCACAATACACCCAGAGTGTAAGAAAATGTAGTTTTTAAATCTGAAACTATTTATACTACATTCAGAAAAATAAAGTTTGTATAGGCATTTACACCTAATGTTGAACTATTCTTTCTATGGAAAAAGAATTATCTCTTGCAGTATGCATGAGAAAATCCATATGAAATGTTAAAAAGATGTTGAAATGAACTTAATGCCTTTTTTTTTAAAAACATCTCAACTCATCTCAAGGTCAACTTTGCCTTGCAGTTTCTGGGTTTAATTAAGCGGAAAAAAAGAAACACGCTAAACTCATAACAAATGATCAAAATGCCATCCCTTCTCTATACCTGCATATGCCAATTCACAACCATGAAAAGACTAGAGGCTATCCCATGGGAGACGGACAAAACATTGACTCGTTGGGAGTTTCCCCATCGGCTGCATAACCTTCAACCCAGGACTGAACCCAGAGGGAGTCTACCTTACACACAACAATGTGCACTCCACACAGAAAAGACCTCAGTTCAGGTTAACTGAGTTTTTTATCTGGTTAAAACAGCTAACAAAGAATTATATTGTTTCAAACTGAAATGATTGGGAGTCATTCATTCAAATGGGAGATAAAGACTTGACCTTGATACACATTTTCTCTTTCTCTCTCACTCCCTTTTTATGATTATTCTGCTTTCCCTAATGTCCTTTTCTTCGTGTCTGTCTATTAGCTACTTGAACGATTTGGACAGGATATCCCAGGCCACCTACATCCCAACTCAGCAGGATGTCCTGAGGACCCGAGTCAAAACCACAGGCATTGTGGAGACGCACTTCACATTCAAGGACCTTCACTTCAAGTGAGAATTTCTTCTTCTTTGCTTCAAAGTGTTTTTTTACGTGGTGTCTTGATTAGCTTTCCTTCCTGCCTCTGACTCATTCACTCCCATAGAAATTACCTTTGCTCATGTACAGATGTAAGTTGTGACACAATGTGTGAAGGTGTTCTGCAAATATCAGCAGTGACTCAGAGAGAAAAAAAAACAGAGAGGAAGTGGGGGCAGCAGGCCTGATGATATCATGACACTATAAGTCCGTAAGCGGATGCTAGTGACACATACATTCATGATGTTGGGACATACAAGAGATCAGAAATAGATGTTAAATGATCCATAGAGACATACAAAACACAGCGCTTTTTAAATGCCCTGTCTTACTCAAGGCGCAGCTTAAATACACTCATGATGACACACAATTAGTGTCACAGTTGTATATCACAACAGTTCTTCAGTAAAGTAGCCATTGCTCTTTGTAATGTACGGATAAAACAGCAGGGGCTACACGTTAAAAAGCAAAGTACTCCTTTTTTGAATGGTTCAGTTTGTATTCGAAGATAAACACAATTAAAGAGGTCTGACCTTATGTCGGTCTTTCTTGTGTTGATGAGGTAAATGTGATTACTTCTTTTATTTGCACACCCTATTATACATTCACCATTCCCTCCCCCAGTGCTGCCTTTAAACCGTAGTATTTCCAGATGTGGCTTCTGCAGTGTAGTAGCAGCTCTCACAAGAGCTAAATGGGGCGTTTTGTTTTGCCACAATTCCATGTATTATTATGCAATTGTTTCACACGTTACCGTTTAAAATCAGATTTGAAAATTGCTCTTTATAATTGGATTTGCTATTGTCGAAATTGTTCCCGAAAGTGAGAGAGGTGCTTTGGTGTGGATTAAGTAAAGCTAGCAGTAAAAATCCCCCTCATTTATAGATCTTTACAAGCAAATAGAAAACACAAGATGCTGTTCTGTCAGTATACCCATTTGCTGGTCACTTGAGTATTGCTAGAGTAGATTTTTATCAGAACAGTTTTGAAGTAACAAAAGACAAAGCATTTGTGTTTCCTCTCCCCTGTATCTCTTACTTCAAAACTGTTCTGATAAAAATCTACTCTAGCAATACTCAAGTGACCAGCNGACTCTAAATCATATTATCAATGGCACCCTGTTTTCCCATGACAAATGGGGACAACTTTTTTTGAAATGTTCTATTGAAGTGCTTGTCTTGGTTTTTCTTCAAATTTAGCTTGATCTTATTCGTTTGGTAATATGTCTAAACACGTCTCGCTGGTTTTAAAATGAGACTCTTCCTTGAACAAGAATTGTTGTTTGACCGGATCAAGCAAAAGGTACAGAAAAACATATCCTTTCTCTGTAGGATCCTTTCCATAATGTTGTCAGACCCTTCAAATAACAATTTGATCCTGTCAGTGACAAAAACAATTTAAATTGCAGCCAAAATTGGACCATTTAAAAAATGGTTGTCCCTTACGTTACTTAGACACAAATACATTGGAAAATAGGGTCCAGTTTAAAACATTTGGAAATTACCCTTTAAGGCCCACAGCCACTGCACTTACTTTGGGAACCACTGGTGTACAGATGTGTTTGATAATACTTACCAAAAGAACAGGCCGATTTTGTTAGAGCCTTCAAATACTAAGATGCCCGTAGGAGTAAGACCGAGTGCATATTCTCCTCCATCTCTGCCCTGAAGACAAAAACACACACACACACCTTTAGTGGTCGAAAACCTCTGTAAAGTAGAGACTTAGTGACAGTAAAATTCACTCACACACCTTGACAAAGTGCATATCCACTCCGTAAAGTTCCAGCCACTTGCATTTGTTGAGAAACAAAACCTCTGCTTCTGACGGAATCTTCCCCCTGAGGATTTAAAAAAAAGACAGTGCTTATAAATAAAAACATCTCTTTTACGTCAGCTCAGGTCTGGTGTTTTGGGCAACTTTATTTGATAAAGATAACCATCAAAATCGGTTACCAGCTGCATGACCGCTACAGGTAATTGGTTAGCTCTAAGAGAAACAGGGGTGCTCCTTGAATTAGTCTTTCTTTTGTGAGTAAGAATGAGAGTCAGTGTGAGTTTTGTCCTTGTGTGGCTCAGGCGGCTTGGTGAAGCGCAGCATATGTGTATGTAATCTAATCCGAAATGGGAGCAATCAGACCACGGCTGCGTTAAATACTGCCCAGAATCAATCAGGACCCTCCAGGGATTAATCCCTTAATCCTTCATACAAACCAGTGAGAGCGGGGCTGAGTCAGAGGGGGAGAGGACGGGGGGGAGAGTGAAACTTAGACGCCCTCATCAGTAGAAACGCTGGCGCTGAAAGGCAGCAGCAGAATTACTTCCTCTCCTGCTTAATGCCCAGCTTTTTGCCCCAGTTGTTTCTCAAAATAAGGAGATAAAACCATTGGATTCCCTCCAAAATGTTGCCTGACAGAGCAAAAATGTTGGGGCAACTAGTGCACATGCATATGTATAAATGTCCCGGGGTTGACAAAGTCCCATTTTGAAGTCTGGCTATGAATTCATTGCAACGTTCAAACTCACCTGAGGTCCAACCACCTGCTGAAGATGTCGGCCTCCATGGGCGCGCTCTGTTTGGGAGTGAAGCGAAACTCAGAGACCAGCTCAGGAGAGTGCTCCAAAGGATCGCAGTCTCCCATCTCACCTGGATACAGATTCACACAAACACACATCAAGTAAAGACACTAGGAAATTAAGAAATACAGATTAGCAGCATGATTGTTGCACTTTGTTTCACCATTTACTACTATCAATAATAGTCACTTGCATGTTCACGCTACACTCCAGTAAATCAACATCTAATTGCAGACTAAAAACACTTGACTTTACTGTCTGTCATGTTGGTGCCTTTATGAAAGCTTTGACATTTAAGATGTGAGGCCAGGCTGCAGTAGCCATCAAATTCATGTAGTACTTTTCCCAGAGCACAAAGTACTTTTCTCATCTTAGCTTATTGCTTGTCCTCTGGGTTTGATTTATAGATTACACGCATCATAAATTCCTTGTTTTACTCCAATCATGGTTACCAAAAAACGCACCAGTGAGCAAGAGACCTGTCTATGCTCACAACTGCTTTACCACCCAAAATATCTGTGACAATAAATATATAAAAAAATGAAATAAATAAGAGGACTAAATGAAATGGCCTCTCAAACCTTTAAAAATGCAATCCACTCCACTTACTTTGTAAACAATATGCCGCCAGCTCTACTGCAACATCATACGGACATTTCAATCTGAGCAGAGAAAGAGAGACACTGGTGAGGAGCGTTCTTTAGTGTAGTCATCGTGAACTTGTTCTCATGTGATGGAAAGTCATAAAGCGTCTGAATGCCCTACACTGCCTGTGTGTGTGTGTGTGTGTGTGCATGTCAAGGAGAAGAAGAGCAACCCTTTACTAAAATAAGCAGCCCTCTGCTGTTCCTGATCTTGAGCTTTATAATAGAGCTGGACTCCGGGGATCCGTGGCCCAGATAGAGTCAGAAAAATGGAGAGGGGTAACACGCTATCTGAGTGTGTGTTTGTGCATGCAGGTTTGTTTAAAAGAAAGAAAAAGTCCCCCAAACTGTAATGTAGGTGACCTGTGTGCATGCTCCCACAGGTGTTTACATCAGGTTTGGCACTACTTTTGAGAACCACAAAGAAACCACAGATGAAGAGAAATAACCAGACAATAATATAAATAATAAAACACTTCATTTTAGGGCAAATGTTTCTTCTGTTCATAATACTTCAATTCAGTTATTTCCTTTTACTCTACCAAGCAATTCAAGCATAGGCCTATTTATCTTTCATCACACTCAATAATATTTAATAAGGTCAACATTAATCATCTTGAAACCACTTGAAACCACCGCTCTCCATCTAATAAGTCTTGTACAACGCTTTAAACATGTTTACTTAAAATTCATGGTCATATTTAGTAACTGTGTAAACATTTAGTTCTCCAATAGAATTAAAGACAAAATTGTCTGTGTTTGAAAATTGTATGGTTTGTGATGATTAAACCACCAGCAGGTGGCTGTCTCACGGTTTAATAAACATATCAAACAAACATCTGTTACCTGACTTGACCTCCCAATTACTTATGTTAATTGTCGAATAGTTAGGATGTAATGTGATATATAAAACAGTGGTATATGTTTTTACACATGCATTTGTATCTGTCTCAAGTTGTATTATAATGTCATTCTGAAATGTGTTTATTAACATGAAAAAGGGTCTTACTTTGCAGAGAGAATATCTTGTCGAAGCTGCAACACAAACAGATATCTGTTGGTGTAAAAAAAGACAACAACACAGAGTGAGATGCAAGCCACAACAAGAACATAAATCAATTGATGTATCACAGGCTTTTCCTCATCTCCGACACATCATTTGTTTTAACAAGTCTTCGTCCATTTGGCCTTGATTTTAATCTGCCCACAGCAGCAAAGTAATTAGCCCAACGTCCCCTTTGGACCTCCCCATTGGGCTCCTGAGAAAACCGTGAGTGTTCGAGTGTGTGTGTGTGTGTGTGTGTGTGTGTGTGTGTGTGTGTGTGTGTGTGTGTCTCACTAGCATGGGGCGAATAAACCCATCTCCTCGTTTCTATGGCAACATACCATGTCTGTAGAATGGGTGTGATTCAGGCTTTCAGGGGTTCAGTAAGCATTTCTACACACACTGGCAGCACAATTAGTTCCCTGTTATAGCTGTGCCGGTAGCGGTGTGTGTGTGTGTGTGTGTGTGTGTGTGTGTGTGTGTGTGTGTGTGTGTGTGTGTGTGTGTGTGTGTGTGTTTCTGATTGGTGAGATTTTTACCTTGTAAATTCCTCTCGCAGGTTATTTGGCTCTGAAGAGTAAAATTTCACTCTGAAGAACAGTCTGTAATGAGGCCCGTCTAAAAGACATAACGAGAGAGAGCAAAGTGTGTGTGAGAGAAGGAGGTGGAGAGAGAGGAACAGGTAGGTGATTAATTCAATCAAATCATAGCTTGTTATGATTTATTTGATCCATTTCATCTCATCTTTTAATCCAACACAGGCTTCAAATCGTTATCTATCCATATTTCTTTTTAACCAACTTTATTTTGTATTGTTTATTTCACTTCAACATTGATCAGACTTTCTTTCAGGCTGCTCAACTACAGGAGGACCAGCGAACAAATAGGACAACACAGGTCTCCCCTGTCCCATTCATCCGCTGTTACAAGCTGCAGAGCAAACAAGTGTTATGCTCCTAATGCACATGATAATCACCATGTCAACATTGGATAATGCGCCACCTGCTCCCCACTTACCTGCTTCCACATGAATACAGCACGATCCACACTTCCCTGCACTCACTAACACAAACACAACTCAGGTACAGTAGGCCTACTTACCTCGGATCTGTTTCTTAATAATCTTGGACATATCCAGCCATTGCTAGAAGAGAAAAAAAGGAATAAGCAGATGATTATTAGTGATATCAGCTTGTTATTTATATATGTAAATATATATTTCCTCTTAGAGAAGTAAGAGCTTCCGCCAAGGAGTTTATGTTTGTATTTGTTTTTTTGTTTGTCAGGGTTACAGAAAAAATGCTGGTCGGACTAGTGCAAAGCAGGGACCACAGAAGAACCTATTACATCTTGTTTCAGATTTGTATCACGAGTGGATAAAGGCATTATGTTTTCAATCACTTGTGGTAACAGCCTTGGCGGAGGCCTTTCTATTTACTCACGGAGACTTGTTCTGTGTCCATGTACTGCAACCCAAAGTAGTCCGTCTCCACCAGATCTATGTGATACATGATCTGGTCAAAAAGGTCCTGGCCTTTGGACTTACTCTACAAAAGAAGAACAAAGAGTTAAATATATGTCAGCTGGGCTTTGTCTGTGTTTACTCTTATCTCTTTTGCTTCAGTAACCTGATCTTCTCGAGATAAATTGAGTCTTAAAACTTGAGTTTCACTATTTGGGTGGCTGCCGAATTGCCTGGTTATTTAGGCATGAACAACCTTGGTATCCATAACAGGAGCAAAATGAATTAGAGTGGATGTGAGACTTGGATGTTGGTCAAGAAGAGAAGGAGAAGCCGTTGAGAGAAAGATTCTTACTGAGGCTTTTGTATTGCACAACCATCTAAAGGTTGTCGAAAACTTTATCTGAACATTAAACAGAAGTACCTCACCACCAGGACGAAGGCCAAACCCCAGTCTGAGCCATATAACACAAGGTGGGTGTGTAGAAATATGACAGTCTTGTACTTTGGATCCTGATAACCAGACTAAACATACTGGTGAGTGTATGAATGTGTGAAGAAATCAGTGGTGTTAGAGGATTGGGCAAAGGGGGGTAAACAGGCTGTTGCTTATTGCAGCATGTCATTTTAGAAAAGGAAGATTGAAATCATATCACAGGAGGGCACATGCAGTGGCAACAAGGTCACACACACTGCTGAATATATTATAGTCTCTGTTCCACCTTGTGTTTTGTCTGCATTCAACCCGAAGTGACAGGCTAATAAGCTTTAATAGGCGAGTTTCAGCTCTGTTCAACGAACCTGACATGAACAGACTTGTTCCAACACCTGTGACTAAGCTGCCAGTTTGAAAAGCCCTGTGTCATTGTGATGTTGATGCTGTAACACCTCTGCAGAATATGTGGCTTTGTATTAGTGCTTAAATCTCCCTAAGAGAAATACTGACTGCCCTGATAACACACTTTATACTGTCCGAGAGTTTCAGAGGTGACGCATGTACGCAGCAGCTTTAGTGACACATGAAACCTTTAAAATGAAAACATCTTACGGGAAGCTACTTACGCACGAATGCCCACACGCTCGCTCATCATCCCACCTACCCTTCATACACTTGTAGCACTCGTCTGTGACACAGAGTCCCTACAGTGGTAAATCAGATCAGGGAGCCGGGGAATTGAGGGAGATGGATGGAGAACAGAAGAGAAGAGGAAGAGGAGGGGAGGAGGAAGAGGAGGGGAGGAGGAAGAGGCAGAGTGTGAAAAGAGTAAGACGATGAGCAAGGGAGCAGGCCACAGAGGGAGAGTAGAAAAAGATTAGGAGGGAAGACTGTACAAGGCGAGAGAGGGGGGGGCGGTCAAAGAAAAGCGGAGATTGCTTGAGGAGGATCAGATACGGGCAAATAGACTGAGAATGAGAGGAAGAGGGAAGTGAGATGCTGTGAAAGAGCAAACAGGAGGGGGCAACTTCAGGTCTTTCTTAGATTTCCCTGCAGTCAGAAATGAGCAAGTATTGTGATTAATTGACTAATCAAGACCATCTGGAGCTGCAACCCTCATCGTACAGAAATACGCTCCCACACTAATATCATAAAGGGCACTATGATACTACGGGTGGAGATAGCTGTGTTTGCAATTCTGTAGCCCTTTAACAAAAACATTGTAAAACAAAAGCCACAAACTACGTCTCAGATAGGAATGAGTCCCAAGCTCGATAGAACTCAATTTAAAGTGATATAACAGATAAAGTGACTAATCCTTGAATAAGAAAAGCAAAAATACCCAAAACGAATGAGTTGTTTACAATTTGCTTTAACAAAGTAATTTATCCCAAAACATTTGATTCATTATTCTGTCAATCCACTAAGAATATCATTATAGGCTAAATGTTTGAAGCTTAATGCGGCAACAAAAAAGTGAATTTTCCTTATCTTATAATTACAAAGTTAATGTTGATTTTACAGTGTTGTGGCTATAGCATAATGACACCCAGGGCCGGCCCTTGGCATAGGCAGTATAGGCGAATGCTAAGGGTGCATCATCCCATGGGGGGCGCCGAAAATTGGGGGAAAGAACAAAAATTAAAAAATGGTTTTATTTAAATGTCATAACAAAACAATTTCCCGATTTTGGATCAACAAAGAATATCTTATTATCTTATACTAACAGAACTACGCCTATATTGCGTACAGCGCAAACTGTGTGCCACCTCCACCTAAATCAGGTTAGTTGAACTGCCCCGGCCCCAGTAAAAACCTGAGGTTTATGTGATAGTTCTTTTTTTGAAATAATGGTTTTAGTGTGCAATTATAGGTTTTAATTTTGTATTTGTGTTAATTTTAAATAAATCAAACACATATGCTTCTGTGTGTTTTTATTAACATTGGAATTTACTGTGATGCAAGTGCCCTGATGACAACATCTGTGTTGAGACTGGTTCCATATTAGCCTAACTTTCACTATGCCAATCAATCTGTCTGCCACCATCAACAAGGATCGATTTACAGCACAAAAGGAAGTGAGTCAACCATCAATGTATGTTTTTTTCAGTCATCCACAGTAGCGAAAATGGCAGACTGATCAATAGCTAAGTAACTGTGGAAGACACATACATTATATACTAACTGTTGTAGCTATTAATTACTAGTCTCTGAAACAGAAAATGATCTGGGTTTGCGACCGTGGCGCCAAATAAATAATAGCATTTGGAAACACTAAGTGAAGAAAGTTGGCTATTTCAACAATTTCAAAAAAAATGTCATCTGCATCAATGCTATGAATAAAGAGATACAAAACAATCACAAGATTTAAAAAAGTTAAGTTTTACATATGACCAAGATTGTGCTTTTTCTAACTTTTACCAGGCCATAATAAAATAAACTTGAAATAATTCAGATCCACCAGAATTGCAGTTTCTACTTGGGCTATATTTTGAATTTAAAAAAGCAAAACTGTCATCAACCCTGATGCACTCAAGTAGCTCATAGTTTTTTTACTATGAGAGGGGGCCAGAAGGAAGCCAAACAAGGACCACATGGGGGGCCCGAGCCGCACTTTGACACACACTGACCTAGCCTACCACCTAGTCCTGCGCCATGTACTTTGTTTACACACTGTGCCGCAATCAGCACACGGGACACTCACAGGCAAATCCACACTGACATCCGAGCCGTCAAGCAGCAGCACCCGGCAGGTGATGGTGGTCCTCGCCGTCCCGGCCGCCGGGATGTGCACCACCGCCCCCCCGCTGACCACGGCGGGTGCATGCACGACCTGCTGCTGATGGGCCAGGAGCAGGGGGTTCCCGGTCACCCCTCCTGCCCCCCCACCTCCTCCTCCCCCCTTACCGTCCCGCTCGTCCCTCTCTCTCGTCTGGAAGCGGCTCCGGGAGCGGCGGCTGAACGTCCGGCGCAGAAATCCCATCATCTTCCTGATCCACAAGGTGAGGAGGTCCTTGTTGTGTCCGGGGAAAGTGTTCCACACAACAGGCGGAGAAGCCGGGGTCCTGCTTCTGCTGCTGTCCCCGCCTCCTCCTCCTCGTCCTCCCCGGGGCGAGGAGTCACTTAGCAGGCACGGAGGAGACTTCAGGGCTGCCGATCAGTCCTCCGGCTGGATGTCGGCGGGGGACCCTAGCCGCATACTAATGAAACTCACGCAGAAAGACCACCGAGGCGCCAACCAGTTGATTAACTGGCCCGGTGTGAACGACTCTCACGGAAATACAAGCAGCCCTCCTCCTCCCCCTGTCCTGTCCTCTCCTGTGCACCTGCCTCCTGCTTTGCTTGCTGTTGCGCACCGACTCTCAAATACCGGAGAAATCCCGAACGACGCTTCCGCCGCGGGAGTCACACGGGGCCGGGGAGGGGGAGTAAAGTCTGGTCACCTCTGCACCGGAACCCCGGGGGTGGTTGTTGCTTATTCCAACCGGCGAACCGAAACTACCTCACAGGTAAAAGTCAACCAACGAAACTGGACAAACAGTGTGTTCTGCGCCTGCGTAAAAACACAGCGCAGAACAAACTTCTGTTCCTCCACAGGCCGACCCAGCAGCGTCGGTAAACCAGCGCCACCTGTCGGACACTCGCCTTTATCATGATTGGTTCCCAAGGTGCGGTCCAAGGTGCCTCAAGGACCGATAAAGGGTTTCCAGGAAGTCCCCGACATAATGATGTGTCACTATATTTATAGAACCTTAGCCTGAAGAATTTCACAAGTCCCAGTCAAAACACAACACCCTCATGACACTAAATAGTCTACAATAATACATTAATAAATTTTTTTGTAAATTGTCTATCCAATTATATTTTCGGTGAAACAGTTACCATTCTTAAGATCTATAAAATATCCTTCTCTACTGACTCTGACAAAAACTAAAGATTTTTCATGTTATGAATTGGGTCAAAGTCAAATCGTATTTTGACAAATCTAAAACAAATGAAATCAGCCCTATCCATTATTTTGAAATCAAACAAATATGCAGCAAATTCCTTAATATGACCCCACAATTTCCATTCCAACACCACAAACCATAAACAAACTGGGTCAATCAATATTAATGGTTGTTAGAAGCTAAATTCTGACAGCAAATATGAAGTACATTGTTAACACGCTGGTGATGTAGCTTTTTGTGCAAAATACTTATAGCTCATGACATAATTAATATAATGTATGTGTGAAATTATGAGATTCATCATTCTCCAAAATATTGTAGTGGTAGTTATTAAAAAGCATACCAAATGTTTGTGCCTGCGTTATACATATGAGAAAAGGACAGCGAAAATAATAACAACATAATGAATAAAACAACAGAAACCTGCAACGATTCTTAAATCCCCACAGCCATAATACATTTAGTGATTGATTATTTATTTTAAAACAATGTTTTTTCCTAACCAGACACCGTTTGGGCTGATTTGTATTGCTGAAAGAGTTTCACTGTCATGTTGCCAGCTTTAGAGGAACTCAGCTGATGGTCAAATAAGCAGACTACTCTTTTTATTTCAGCAGCTTCAATCTGCAAGGAATAGTGAAAACAGCATGCATAAAAGTCACCACAGAGCCTTTTAAGTACTCCTTATCACCAATAAGTTCACACAATGGCCATTTGAGTGTATGGCTAACTGATGAAAGCCATTGCATTTGAAGTATTTGTTACTTATCGAGTCATTCTTTTAAACTCTTAAACTAGAGTTATACATGGAACGGGTATAAACAGGTAGGTGAAATTGCTGTTGTGTAACTGGAATTGTTATGTACATTCATTAATATTTAATTCCAAAATGTTTATTGTATTTATTATATATTTATTTAAGAGAGTATCTCACACAGCAATACACTGAAAACAATTAGGGTGTTCCTTTTTCCATCATTGCAAATTGGAGCTGTAGTTGATAAATAACCTTGACTAGTGCAGAGTAATCTGTCCCAGGAATAAATGCGGATTGTAACCCCTCCCACCAAAGTTAAAAGCCAGATGTTAGAGATGTATTGTACAGCGGGAAAGGGGTTTAAAATTGTAACTTGACATAATGAGAAATCCCCATTTAATCATGTTATTTTTGAAACTCGCTATGAAAGATCGGACAAAGCAGACACATGAGTATAAATCAGAATTTATTAAGTGTCTTAATAATTTAACAGTGTTGAAGAGTGGAGTTTGGTGCTCCTCTGTGCTGTACCTTACAGTATCTGCTGTACTGATCTAAAGGCTGCCATGCTCTTCATCTTTGGACACACAGATAAACAACGATTAAAACGATCCAGGTCTGCCTCTGCGGCGCCATTCGATCCATTGGGTTTCAGTTCAAGGCACAAATAGCTTCATAAGTAGAGGCAGCATTCTTGAGTGGCCTCTGGGACAGAAATGAGTAGCTCACATCAGTATTACATCAGTCTCTATGGAGACCGCAGCCTCTACGAGCTTCATAAGCAAACACTAAGGCCGACTAGGTGTAAGATTCATACTCTCACATTGAATATAAGCTACGCAGAACACAGACAGCTGTACTCTGGAGCTGGTTATACTCTCATTATCCAGTCTGTGTACCAGGCAGGCGGTGGCAGAGGTTAATCTGCTGTAGCTCTGTAAGTCCTTCTGTGGCAGTTGCCTGCAATGAGATGAGGATGAAACTGGAAGTGTGTCTGTTTTGGTCCTGTTGCTGATTGGAGCTACGGTGCTGAAGATCCCTCCTGTTTCTCTTTGTAGACTCGCAGAATGGCCTCACACACAAACTGGAACTGACACTGAAACACAAAACACACAAAGAGTTTCCAGCTGTTACACAACAGTGAAAGTGCTGAATATATTAAAGGAAGTATTCAACAATGACCTGATCCTGTTTGTGAAAACAAAAGCCATATTCTTCAATCATAAAAGTTCATTGTTGTCCAAAAGCTATAAAAGAATACACATGAGGCAATACTCACTAACGACCAAATGTGTTTTAATACACGTCAGAAAAATAGTCACCAGTGCAGTTTTTGTTTCTTTTCAAACCTTTTTCACTGATTGATATATTTCAGTGAAATATAAAGTGCCATATTTACAGCCATGTTGCAAGAATTACTAAAGAAAAAAAAGCTCCAGCTACTGAGTAGACCTTGTGGTGAGATTGAATTGTTAACGGTGTATTTGTGACCTATTTTAATCTATTTCATTTTCAACAGTTTCACAGACAGGCTCAGGATCTGAAAAGAATTGAACCACATTTGGTTTGCTGTTTTTATGAGGTTTGTTTTCAATAAGGAAAAAGGATATAGTATAAATCAATGCCAACCTTTTCCTTCAAACATATGTGTTTATCCAGTCTGTGTACCAGGCATGAAGGTTTGTCCTCTGACTGTGCATGTTTTCCATCAATGTCAGGGATACAAACATATGAGGGGAAACCTGAGGAAGCCTTCCATCAGCACAAACGCATCAGAGAGAAGAAGCCCACGGGACTGGATCTTCTTTCAAAATACGGGAGATATTGGCAGCAGCAGTGGCCTAGAAGCAGGCTTATGACTGGAGGGCTGCCATATTCCCAGCGCTACCTCCTATCAAAGCAATGAGTAACACTTTCCTCTCCTTCGACCACTGAGGTGCCACAGAGCACGGCTTCCAACCTCAGCATGCAAATGATGAGCTTCTCCAGCTCATCAGCCATCAGCGTATAAACTGTGGCAGCCAAGTGTGTGTGTAATAATGAAGGTTATAAATGACAAGAACTGGGAAGTTGGCCATTTGAGAAGTCATTTTCGAGGATTCTACTCTCCCTTATTAAAAGTTTCTTTATAAGGTATATTCACAAAATAATATAAGCTCTCAAGACTTTTCAATCTCCCAGAAGCTTTAACTTTATCAAACCAAATATTCTGAACTTTCAGAAGAATTGCACTGAGCATAATCCAATATTAAAACACTAGCTTCACTATTTAAAATAGTAAATGCATTTGAACAGCCTGTATTGAGCCAAGAGAAAATATATGACTATGATGTTGGACAAGAAAATAATTTTGGAAGTAAAAACACCTCAAAGTACAACTTGCTCACCCCAAACTTTTAACATCTTCTGTTGCCTAAAACATTTCAAAATAAACAAGTTATATGTGGTTACATCCCCCCTTGTCAAGCCTTTTTTACCGAACAGATATTCCTTTGTAGGAGACAAATCGGTTGGATATATTTATGTATGTATATATGTAATATACCCAACCAATCCTCATAGGTATGTGCGTATTGCATTTATTTCATGTTTTATCTGATTCAAATTCTCTCATCAACAGGGTATCATATAGCAATAATAAAGAAAACAAACTTATTATGGGAGAGAACAATCACTGTGGTGGTTATCCGTACCGTGGTTTGAACCATCATGGCTCGCTGGTCCCTCACAGTTTTGACGATGTCCAGCGGGAACACCGGCTGACCCCCATCCAGCTGAGCTAGCGCCGTCTCCATGGTGATCAGAACACCTGTCCGTCCAATCCCAGCGCTGAAATTCAAAACACACACACGGCGTTGAGTGAACATTAGAGGCGTGCAGGCAGTGCTCATTAACATTTTACCCTATGAGTGTGTGAGTGTGTGTGTGTGTTACCTGCAGTGTACCATTAGTGGCTCTTCACCTCGCCTCCTCTCCCTGACCGAGCTGATGAACAGCAGGAAGTCTGAAGGATCATCGGGTACGCCGTGGTCGGGCCACGCGACATATTGCAAGTGTGTGACTTTACGTTCCTCACCTCGCTAACACACACACAGAAAAAAGAAGGAAAATATTTAAAGTCCTGTATTTGAAATGGTAAACATGTAACCTTTAGGAAAGAGTAGATGTATTAATTTAGCCCGGTAAGTTGCATTGAGGTTTAGATCTCTTTTAAAAAAGGGAGACCTGGTCAAGAATCAAGTTGCAATAGTAAAAAAAAAAAGCGGCTGAAAGTTGACCCAAACAAACTCAGAAATGATAACAGATATCGTGGACCGAATAGATTTGAGCTTTAAACTTGTTCAAGGATACATTGTTGTGAAGATTAAGACAGTCTGTAGATGCAATAGCTGTATATTTCACCAACATAAGACTAACTCTACAGCGCTACAGGCTTAAACACATAATATTTAGTGTGCAACAAAACATAACGATGAAGTGCAAAGGCTGAGCAGGTGAGGAAATCAAACCCGCACTTGAGAGCTGAGGTCAGGAAGTGAAGAGGGAAACAGAAAGATGAAAACAGGCAGGATAGAGAACAGCTGAGTTTAGAATGTATAACGGTCATGTGGCCTGTGACTCCACACAGGGGATTAACTCGCTCCGCCAGAGGAACAGATGGGCCCACACACAGCACTATCTCTGTGTGTGCCTTTATACTTCATGCCTCTTTGAGCATTATTTGTTTATTTACCTGTTTGCCATGGAAGTCCATGTGTAAAACAGGTAATTTAATCTGATTATCTCCCATATAAAGGGTTTTACACTTCATCAGATACACCTTCCAGACAGACCTGCCCACCCACACCTACACACAGGTAATACACACTAACACTGGCCCACCCACACACTCATTCAGACCAAGCCATCCACACGGAGGTGACTGTATGTTGGCTGAGGATATTATGCTGCCTGTGGAGAGATCTGTAATGTGACATATGGCACAAACATGGTACATGTCACTGCAAACATATAAACAGATCTGTGTTGTGAGACCATGGTCATGCTTTGCTCGTTTTTCGTGTGGATATGAGAGCAGGTGTGATCTTTGCTAGTAGGGCTGCATCCAATTATTTTCATAATTGATTTTCCTACAGACTTTTTTTCTCAATCAATTGTTTGGCCTATAAGAAAGAAACGCATCAATATTATTACATCATAATATCCCAGAGTTAAAGGTCTTGTTTTCTAGGGTTTAACATTTTAAATCTTTAAACAAACTATTGACCTGTTTTCCCATTCAGAGCCGTCTTTGGTGTCCCTCCAGACCCCCACGAATGTAAGACTGAAGCTGACACTTTTGCTTCCTCACTCTCTAGATGCCTAATTGTACTTAAATGGAAAGATGCACACCCACGCTAACCCAACCTTTACTCATTGGATCCGAGATGACCTGCTTTTTACTAAGTGAGAGAAAATAAAATGCTCCTCAAAGGTTTTCAATAAAGTATAAAATCCTTTTATAAACCATATTAAAGAGAAAATCCAATTATTGGCTTTTCTGTACGACATGCTTCTTTAATATAGCTCTCTCTGCCCTTGAGAGCTCTGCCCTCATGTTTTTTTTACAAGAACAAATTATTTTACAAGAACATTATCCCTATGTTAATTCCGTTTTTTTATTTTTTAGGTTCATCTTTGTTAAAAAGGTATAACAAAAATGTATCCAAGCTAAAGTACAAACCCCAAAAATATAGATCTTATTATAATGTTGAGAAAATGTGCAGGAAAAGCAGCTGATGTACACATTGGAGAAGCTTAAACAAGAATGTTGTTGCATTTACTTAAAATAGTTGCCGACCTGTTGATCGGCTAATCATTGCAGATCTATTTGCTACTGTACCTGTGTGTGTGTCAGTGTGAACTGTCGCGTCACATACGCCAGGTTACACTCCTCAGAGTGACACTTCACTCGCATGTGCCCATAATCCTTCACTTCCGGCGGATGCGGCCAGTACTGGTGGCACTTGGTCTGCAAACGTATGACATTGGCGAGAGATTACATTACATGTGACATGAGTCATCCGTCAGGATACAATTAACTGCTGCTGCTGCTACATGAGCTGCACTCTGCTCTCATCAAATCAAACTCAAATTCAAGAGCGCCGCATGATCCACCCGGCAGTTAGAGGAACAAAAGCAATTCATCAGGGGCAGGATGAGAACTGATTGTGTGCGTGTGCGTGTGTGTGTGTGTGTGTATGATCGTCAAGTGGGGAGAAACTCAGGGCACTTGACAAATATCAGGACATTATCAATTAATGAAAGCATCTGGTTACCAAGCAACAGCTGACACAGAGAC